GAGGAAGCCGACATCATCACTTTCAACCCCATCTTCGATCCCGCCAAGACCAACTGGGTTTTCCGCGACGACGTAACAGGATACAACCTCGAGCTTCCGGAACCCCCAAGACGCTGCGCCATCATCACTGTTTCACGTCTGTCGAAACGACTACTCGATCTTATGCACCGCGAAACCTACCTCATGAAGCACCACATGTTCCCTGAGATGTGGCCACCGACGGTAGCGTTCCACCACGGCCTCAAGGCCGTCTATGCTGCACACCCCGTGTACTTTGATCACAACTGGCCTCTCGAGAACCTCGAAGGAACCTTTAACAAGCCCCCGAAGCCCACCGACAGCGTCTTCGGATGGGGCGAGCACAACCAACTCGGCAACAGCTTCTATTACAACGCCGGTTTCTCGTCCGAATGGTGGAGGAGATGGCTCGGCTCCCGCGAAAACGACAAGGGCGGCCCAGCTGAAGAAGAGGCTGGCACCGGCCGGTTATGCATGCGCAATACCCTTTTCCATCCAGTCAAGTACGAAAAAGGATCCGAGTGATTTTCCACGCTTCGCAAATATACCCCTTTAATTGCTGGCTTTTTGGGTTTCCTTTGTTGCTGCATTTTCCCCGCCGCAAATCTGTCTGTTGTAGACTCCTCATGTCACTTGGGCTATCGCATATCCAGCTCTTTCGTGGCTTTTCTCATCGGGCGGCGTTCATTGGCGTTTTCTGAAATGAAACAGTTTGTTTTTGAGCATATTTTCCTTGTTTTTCTTATTGTTGTATACTTCAGCGCTGGACTATTGACCTCTCAGCGTATATCTTTTAACTACACGACAAAAGCTGCAGGAAGTGTAATTAGCCGAAGACAGCCGTGTCCATTCCATCGACTGGCACGTCATGGATTCGGTCGACGAGACGCGTTTTGGATCATTGGCATCTCGTGGATGTGACGGAGGAGAGTGGAGGTCTCTCGTTTTCCTATTGTGATTAGGCTTAAGCTTTTTTTGTAGCGCTCAGCATGTGAATATGTGTAGATGATGGGAAACTTGTATTAGGGGCTCTTGGAAATCTTTGGCAAACCAATCCAAAGCTGGGTTTGGGAGTGTTGTAGACTTATGAATACAATCAAAGTTAATCTTCAATATCTACTTTACACTGCATTGTCTCTGGTTAGCCGTGAGCCATCAGCAGACGCTTGGCTTTAAGTCATGCTTAGTGATGGATGATATTGTTAGTATCACCCCCGTTATCCAAGACTCAGTCAATAACTCTGTACTAAAAATAAAAGACACAACCTCAAGGTCTTTGCTTGCTCTGATGTCACACGTCCCGACGACGGCCCCACGATACCCTATAGCACCGTGTGGGGAAACACGCGGAGCACCTACCCTTTCGAAATCCAGTACGCGCGGCAACTATACCCTTCCCTTGTTTAATCCCAAAACAACAAAATGCACTTGTCATCGACACCATTGTCAAACGCTAAGAAACGCACAACATCAACAATTCTCCCCTTGCTGCAGCACCTCCCTAGCCCCCTTTACCCGCGGGCCACAAACACAGACAGGCGGGCTAGAAGCATGAAAATGCGGGCGCGCGTGCTGATCCGCGCGTGGCGGGCGGCACCGCTGGTCGTACCGTCCATCAAGATTGCCCACACCGTCGGGGCGCAATGGGTATGATGTGAGAAGAGCGGCATCATCAGCGCGATAAGGGGATTTTGTTGAACGGGCGAGGCGATCCTTTTTGCTTACTCTTTTTTCGTTGGTGTTGGTGTGCGTGTTTGAATCTCCCGTTGTCAGCATCACACAAATTGCGATTTACATACAGTTGATAACGAACACACGGGAAGACGGTCATGCTCCTTATTTCCGCGTCTGCGCAACGGCGTCATTGATGTTGAAACGGGTGGTGGAGTTTTCTGCGACGAACGACGACGACATATGCTACCTAGCACAGCACAGCACTACAGTGTAGAACAGGCAGATGCTGTGTCGATGCCAAAACACATCTTACGCTTATTAATTATTTTCAAACAAACACAATGAGACTTGCCATCTCCCCGCTCCTCGTTGCTGTCGCGTACCTCATCTCAGCTCCTCCTTCGACATTGGTATCCGCCCTCCCCATCCCTCACAACCACCACCACCACTCCCGGCGCAGTACGCCTTTCCGCTCACTCCGCGGCCTAACCACACTCGTAAACTCCTTCTCCAACGCGCATACGTATGCGCAACATGCGCCGAATAAATACTTCCACGAATCCACCTTCCACTCGCACTACGATGGGCGCTTTGCGTCGGCCGAGGTGCCCGCGCTGGAACGCACGTGGCATCTACGGCTGATGCTCAAGGCGTACACGGATACGATGGAGCGGATAGGCATTCAGACGTGGATTATGCATGGGTGTTTGCTGGGGTGGTGGTGGGGTGGTACGCTGATGCCGTGGGATAAGGATTTGGACTTTTTGGTCGAGGAGGGGGGGATTGCGGAGTTGGGGAGTTGGTGGAATATGACGGTTCATGAATTTAGTGCGGGGGAGTTGGGGGTTGGTAGTGGTGGTGGTGGCATGATGAAGGAGGAGGAGGAGGGAAGAAGGGGGGATTGGATACGTCGAGGGCGGTATAAAGATGATTCAAGAAAGGAAGATGAGGGAACGCGACAGAAACGTGAGACCTGGGAGGCTCAAGTGCGGAAAGAAGGGAAAAAATACCTTTTGGAAGTTAACCCGAATTACACAAATACTTCGACGACGGATATCTATAATTTTATAGATGCGCGCTGGATCGATGTGTCGAATGGTTTGTACATCGATATCACAGCCCTCCACATCGCACCTACCCAATCCCCAGACACCTCACCGTCTTCCTCCTCCCCTTCATCCCCATCCCCATCCCCGTCCACCCCCTCCACCGACGACACCCCAACACAACTCTACACAAAAGACACCCACGCCTACACCTCCACCCAACTCTTCCCCCTCCGTCACACCACCCTCGAAGGCGTCCCCATCAAAGTGCCCTACGCCTACGAAGAGCTGTTGCTGGAAGAATACGGCGATGAGGCGCTGACGGAGAGTTGGTATAATGGGTTTGCGTTTGAGGGGGGGGTGTGGGTGCAGAGGGGGGTGAGGGAGGAGGAGAGGAAGTGGTTTTTGGGGAGGTGGGGGGAGGATAGTGGCGGGAGAGGAAGGAGGGCGGGGAGTGGGAGGATTGCTGTTGGCTGGGAAGAGAGGGGTGGGTAGGGTGTGAGGGTGAGGGAGGTAAAATTGTAGGACTTAGTATGAGTGGATAATATTTTTTTCAACAGCTTTCTCTTTTACCTTTACTGCTGTCCTCCGGGTACCCTGCACACCGCTATTACTCCCGCTATATCTTCCTGTCATTGATCACCTTCCTTCCTTCCTCACTTCTTCTCAACCTCATCCTTATCCTCTTCCTCAACCCAATCGGATCTACACCCCGCTTCTATGCTTCACATACTACATCCTCATCCGCAGTCCAAATACTATACAAAACACGCATACCCGCTCTGTCTCGGCGCCTCTTCTGTCCTCTTACTTTGAGACGCAAGCTCCATGCTGCACTCTCACCTTCAACATGTTAGGATACAATGAGGCCGTTCCACCTTATCTGGCCTAAGCGGTACGAAATGATAAGAAGTACGAGTCTGGGCTTGAGATTTACGCCTTCCTTTACCTGAGAGGAGTTGTGGGTTGTGTGTATTACTTCCATGATCCATCATCGGCATCACCATCGGATGGAGTCTCCAGGCTGGCCATCTGGGCCTCAGCACTACAGGATCATCGTAGTTACGACACTGGCTTCGGGATCATACGCCTCTCTTCACATGTTCCGAGTCGGCTTTTTCGTGTTACTTCGCATTACTTCATCATCGGCATCGACATCATGATACATTACCACCGGATGGTGCGCCCAGGATGACAATCTGAGCCTATCGCTCCTAAACGTTACGGAATGATCGTACTTACGGCGCTGGTATTGGAGATTTACGTCTTCTGTCACCTGGTCGGAGTTGTGGTTTCTTCGCATTGTCTCTATCATCGGCATTAGTATCATGATAGCTTCCTCGCATGACTTCCATCATCGGCTTCGACATCATGATGCATCACCACCGGATCGGACTTCCAGGCTGACCACCAGGATTAATACCTCCTACAGACCAGGAAAACGAGTATACCGGTTTTGGGACAAACGCCATTTTTTCATTCAAAGATAGATTGAGCTTCATGTATAAGGATACTAAGATGCGCACAAGGACGCTGAATTTGCCAAGTCAACGGCAAGGCTCTCGTCCTTTCAGGATTTGGTCCTTTCTTTACACCAACTCAAGACGTCTGCCTCAAAAATTACAGTGCAGATAGACTGAATTAACCTACGCGCTAATAGCGGTAGGAAGCAGAGAGCATGTACGCTAATATTGCGCCACGCGCCTTCTCTTTCACCGCCCCGCAAAAGCCATGAACAGAACTAATCTCTTGCTAGGCGAACAGCACTCTATTGCCTTTTTGAGCTTGCTCAGCACGCGCAAGGGTCCAGGCACCAGTCCACGTAGGAGACGCGGAAGACGCACGCTCACCTCGGGTCTACTAGCGCACGGACGTACATTTCTTCAGCTTAGTTTAGCTAGACCTTTGTGTGAGCCTTCCTACTTTTTTTTTACCTCACAGAAAAAAAGAAGGTGACAGCAGCCAAGATGGCGTCTTCAGAGCAGGTATGTGGTATACAAGTCAAGTCACGTGTAGGGATATACTGACAGTTCACTACATAGTCTACAAGCAACAACAAGGACGGCTTCAAGCAGAAAGCAACACGCGAAGTAAGAAGATTTCCTTGAAGAGAATACTCCAGCTGGTCTGACGATACTACAGCCACAACCACAGACCCCAAAGCGTCCCAATAGCATCCAAAAGAAGAAGAAGACGGGGTCTAAGAGCAGCACCGCCACAGAGAGTAGCCGCAAGGCTCAGACTCTGCGTAAGTACGGGATGGAGGGAACACGACACTATCCTATTGTACTCGATCCCGATTTCGTCATCAAGGTAGAAGACGAGGGCACAGTCGACTCTCTGATTAACATCGACACTGCGCCGCCGAGACATACAGACTGTATCCCCGCTCTGAAGGATCCTGGAAAACCAAGGGGATATCTAAGTATGGTAAGTTGTGTTTATCTATCCTATTAAACGTGCAGTGCTAACAGCTATACAGACGGATGAGCAGAGGGAATCCTACGACTACCGCTATTTCAAAGCGGCTAGAGACAGAGACCGAGAAGCTGCACGTAAATGCAAGGCAATACTTATAGGCGCCGGACAGAGCAGTAAGGCGTGTAGGACCGAGGACAAGGACACCAACGACAAGAGTGACGAACACAACAACGCTTTCATTAACGACGACGAGCCCGGCGACGACGAATCAACACGTTCCACCTCACCTCATCCTATCCCCACCGCTACCCCGCTCTCCCCCCGCCATCTCAACTACTTCGTGACCACGTTCCGCCATTACATCTGGCTAGACACCATACCCATCAGCACTGTCGTCGCTCAGGTAAACGCGTGGACAAAGTCGCACAGGGGCTTTTCCTTTAGCGATGCCGGGGCTTTGTGCGGTCTACAGGAGTTAGAGCGGAAGGGCGAGATCCGTGTATACGACGACAAGGTCTTCTTCCCTAAGGCTTTCCACTTGCTCCTCGTCGACGCCCGGCAGACCGAGGAGATTATTAGTTTGCAACATCCTATCTCGCCTCCGTCGTCGTCTCACACATCGCTGTCGACAGACCAGTTCACTCGCTTTCGCAATAAGCTTTCGAAGCTTGTGGACAGTCCAGCATTCAACAAGGATAATTTGTTATCCACAGAAGAAGTCTGGCAGGCTATCAACCGTGTCTCAAGCGAGAAGTTCAACATGAAAGAAGTGGAAGAAGCACTAGTTCGGCTGAGTAAGCGGGAGGAAGTTACATTGTTAGGAGGGAAGAGGTACTTTTTGTAAGGATGTTGGTTTAAACAAGCAAGGGTAGTTTGGCTTAGGTTGAAAAAGTGGTTGGTTTTGTGGTGAGCGTAACGCCTGTCCGTTCGAACATGAAGTAGACATGCGGTCGGAGTATTCTGCGGCATTGTTTAACAGTCAGGCCTCACTACGCTGAGTCGGATTATGGCATTTGCGGTGTTAATAGTTTGGTAACTGAGCTGAGATGAGCTTGGGAGGACGGGAATTGGAACCACATGGTTTGGAACGGGCTGCGTAATACGTCGATAAGCTTTGTTCTCTTGTAATGTTTCGTGGCCGAGAAAGTACATTCAACTTCGAGTTTGCGATTCTGAATAGATATGGTGTAGGAGGTGAGTCAGTGAGCGAACAAGCCAAGGAGCCGTGCGCTTGGAAGAATGCCCTTATCGATTTCGACGTAAGTAGCGCGATCTAGTTACATTGCATACTGAAACAGGTACTCAAATACACCATCTTCTTTGGAACGACAGAAACGATGATTAATAAAAATGTTGGTAAATGGCTTATTTGAAATAAACTTTTGCTTTTTGATTGCTTGATAGGTATAATGGTGATGAACATGCAATGCCATAATGCATCATGAATATCTATTCTTCAGAGAGATAGGTACACAAGCCAAATTCAATCAAACAGAGCGCCCCAAACGCCTCGCCATGAGCTAGGTAGCTAAAGAATAAGAGTGAATTTTGCCAAAGAAACACTACATGCAAGAATGCTCATAGATACTACCATGCATATCCATCATTTCGTCATCGTCATCGTGAAAATCATGGCCATCACAACCTCCTCCCCCTGTTCTCCTCACTAGGACTCGTAGTACCATTCACACTCCCATTCGCACTCCGGTTCCCATTCACACTCCCATATCCCGTGCCATTAGCATGCGGCATAAGCGTCTCCCTCGCCTCCTCGGCCTCATCTTCAATACAATCGCGTCGAAGCGTCTGACTCTTCCTCCACACATACGCCACAAGCGCAAGACCCACCAACAGCGCCAGACTGAGTAAGATGACGTTGATGGGCACAGGGTCGTTGTGGAAGGTCTTGTGGGTAGCGGCGTCGAGGGCGGATTGGGAGAAGTTGAGGAGGCCGGCGAGACAGATGATGAGGCCGTAGACTTTGCCGAAGGTGGCGAAGCCGAAGACTTTGGCGGAGTAGTCGCTGGGGGGTGTTAGCAGAAGTTTGTGTTTGTGTGGGGGTGGGTGGATAGAGGCGGGACTTACGAGACTGCGGTGTAATAGAGGGGTCGGTAGAGGACGAATAGGGTGATGTTGGCGTAGGCGGCCCATGTCTCGGGGATCACGCCGAGAACACCGATGGTGGTAGCGATGGTGACGAGGAGGGATAGAGTAAATGTGGTGCTTGTGTTATCGAGTAGTAGACCGATGAAGGGGACAGATAAGACGCCGCCTACGGGTAGTGCGACGTCGAAGAAGTTGTTGATTTCTACTGCCTTGTTGTAGTCGTGGAAGAGGTAGGTGTATTGTGTCCGGATTGTCGCGACGAAATAGTTGATACGCGTCATTTGCAGCACGGTAAAGAGCGTGATGAGTATGAACCAGGGTGTACGAATCTGCTCACGGGCAGTACGACCGTGAAGAGCACCCCAGACACCCGAGATGTTTTTCTTCTTCTCTTCTTCTTGCGCTTGGTTCTTGCCATCCTTGGTACCCAACAAAGAGGTGATTTCGCTGACAATGCTTTCTCGGTGTGCGCGACGAGCATCCCGGAGACTTCGAACAGTGGCTGCATCTTCGATCTCATCGTCAGAGTCGTGAATGACTTGCTCCTCTTCCACTGTAGTGACAAGTTCGCCAACGGTCTTATACGACACCGAGGGCATGAAAAGCACTTGGACTGCAAGTATGAAGACCGGAACAATCAGATAGATGAGGAAGAACTTCTTGATGGAGAAATCGCCACCTGTGCCCTGATAAATCAAGCGGTACATCAAGAAGATGGCGCTTGAAGTATCGAAAGCTCCGGTGAGCAGAGCCAGGATGAGTCCAGAGTATTGCGGGAACGTGTTGCTGAGCTGGAAGGACGAGATGAAGATAAAAGGTCCGCCTAGAGCCAGAAACAGGTAGCCAGGTATATATCTACAGAACGTCAGCGTGTACCCTACAGCAATTGTGTCACCAAACCTACCCATCAACGGGAAGCTGCTCTGAGAAGGCGAAAAGCAGCGCACCAACTGTGATTGATGCCGCACCAGTAATCCCGCATACTCGTGGTCCGAAGCGATCGAGAATCCACCCTACAGGCAACGCGACAACGTTTGTGGACACGGCGGCAATAGTGAACATGAGGTTTAGACGAAGCTCTTGTTCGTAGCATACATGTACGCCCTTTTCGAGTTCCTCCTCTGTGCAATAATCTCTATATACGCCCTCCTCGAGTAGTACGGGTTTGATCGCGGCATAACCGAAGACGACGCCTGCAGCGAACAGGCAATAGATGACGGCGAAGAAGACCTGGACTACGCAACGTGAGCTTTTGTGCCGTCATATCTCCAACACTATACATACGCATTCTTTTCCACTTGGGCACCTCGAAGGCGCCTATCGTCGGCTCTTCGCCAGTCTGTTCGGTCCATGTTCCAACAGGATTGAAGCTCATCTTTCGGTGTCGTGAGTCCGGGCTCGCCTCTCTGCTCCATGGCTCATGCTCCTCCATGGCTGTCACGCGTTGGGAGAGCGACATGATGGGCAATTGGACCTCCTCTTCTTAAAGATGGGCGGTATGACGTCGGTTCAACAGTACCGACAAAACGATTGAAGTAACAATGGGTCAACCAAACTACCTCAGCATGAACCACAACCAAAAACACCGTGGAACGGAAAAGACGGGTGTTGGGGTCATATATGCGCCAGCGCAGCATGGAATGGCGTAAAGCGGGGACGGTCTGGCTAACAACCGGCACAGGTGCAGGATGCCCAGCAGAGCCGATGATCAGGGTTTCGCGTGGGCGCGTGATTCCAAAAAGCACGGCTCCTCCTTGGCTCTTTGAATATCCATTACGGCCTTGTACCACGTGTCAACTGTTCGTGTGGATATTGTGAGCGCATCATGGACGACTTTAAGCTCATTTGTGTGTAGCGACTTGAGGTTTGATTGTTGCTGCTGTTACAACGTCGTGCTGGATGTTCCATGGTTGAAGCTTGCCGTTTGCTGCAGCCAATAAGTGGGCGAGTCAGCCGCGGACAATGAAGCTTTGGTAGCCTTGTGGGCCGTGCACACGGATGCGCCGCCGAAGTGGCATCAAATTTTCCTCTACTCCTCCACATGTTCGCTGAACGCCGATACACGATGGCTACTTCCGCTCCTCTACTGCAGTCAATTCAAGACCTAATATTTTGATGTGATTGCAGAGATTTCGTTATTCTGCAGAGGAGTTGTATGTTCCCGTCGGAGAAGTCGTACACTCACATGTGTTTCCATTTCTACATCACTCAAAGATTGGTTCTTCTAGATTGTGTATTTGGTGTTCGAGTCAGTCTATACCAGAAATGGTAGTTACATCATTTTCGGTCATGTATACGATCTTTTGCTCTCTTGCGAGTAGCTTGCTCGGCTACATGCTTCCGAGTGTCGAAGAAAGATTTATACATCACATAGCAAGTCCACATTATTCATCAGAAGATTTGGCTCTCCCTTCATATACTTTTCATAAGCCCGGCATTTGACCTCGATTGTGCCCCCCACAAAAACACGTGAAAAGAGTAGGTGGTCTATGTCATTTGTATGCTCTTTCGTTATTTTCCCCACAATCTCAGACTCACTCTATCTCTCTCTTCTTTTCTTGTCATTGACGTCTTTCTTTCATCTCCTACTTGCACCTCGGGAAGTAGGTATTCTCATTCTTGTATGCACCCGCTGCATGGGCATTGCTATGACAGGCGCGCACCCGGGCGTCATAAAATACATGACATACTAGTGTACAAAAACCACTATAGTCGCCAGAAACGCCTAAGAGGTGCTTACCCACACGTTCCATCATTTTATGACACCCAGGTGCGCGCGATGTTCAGTGGGAACGATTTTAAGTTGCTTTGTATCTATGGGACTAGAGCAGCGATGACCAATGGCAACGATAGTCTACCTGGCTGGGAGTAACCAGACTCTGCGCAGAGAATCTTGTGTTGTTTTACTTTGTCGTTGTTTCTGCTGGTTTGGAGGATCCTGAACTGTAATGACCAAGAGCAATTGTTCCACATGGACTACCACCACAGAATCAGATCTCATCTCATTGAGAATTATTGCAGCGGAAATGTCACACCGGAACCCATTACAGTGTCTTCTTCGTCTATCATCACCATTATATTCACCACCCAACAGTCCTTATGGTTTTAATGACGTCATTACCGGGGTCTCGCGGCCCGACGGAACCGGATTGGGGGGCAACGTAGACGAGACTTGGAAGAAGACATGTCAAAATCGCTTGTTATCGATCATTGTACTAGACGGATTGGTTATCCGCGGACCCAGAGGCGGGGTTACATGAGACGCGACACGGAGCCCTTTGCCAAGGTGATCCTGGATCTCCCAACTGTCGCTGTGACCAGATACAATACAAACCCCCATCATCAATACACTACTTTACAACAATCTAATCGATAGCAATGCGGACAGATATGGAGCCCTTGGTAGTCTGTGCAACAATCAAGTCGTGGTCATAGGTGATGTCGTCCAGTACCGTATTATCAGCGAGACGAGCGCGCGGGACAACGTCAAGCACCATGTGCGCGCACATAATATACAGCTCACAGTACGCTAGCTGTTCACCAATGCAGCTGCGAGTACCCTTTCCGAACGCGATGAGCTTCTTCTGCAGCGTGTAGTTTTGCGATCCATCCTCCAACAACCACCGTTCTGGAAGGAACTCATCAGGGTCAGGAAAGAGCTCCCTGTTCCAGTGGTTGATCATTGACGTCATGCCAATGGGCGTTCCTCTTGGAATCACCCAGTCTGACTTGCCGTCCGCCGATACGTAGTGGAGATCCTCGTGGGTCGCAATTCTGGCCGAACGGTGGGATACACCAGGCATCATACGCAGACACTCTTGCAAGACGGCCCAGAAATATGGCACTTTTTCGAGCTCGACCCACTTAATCGTGTTGGAAGCAATGCCAGCTTGCAAAAGTTCCATCCTGAGTCTCTGAGAGATTTCAGGTTTGGCGAGTGACCAATAAGTGAAGACTGTAAGTATGGCCTGAGAAATTGGTTAGTGCTGACAAACGAACCGAAAAATCAACCGGGTAGCTTACAGCAGCTGTTTCAGTACCGGCCAACAAGAAGTTGAAGCCTTCGCCCGAGTATCGGTACTTCTCCTCTTCGGACATGGACTTGTCTTTGCCCATGACTTCGGCAAACACACGTCCGTTGTCAGGGTTGCTAAGAGCCTGGCTGATGTACTGTGGGATTGTGACATTCATGATCCTCATAACAGTCTTGACATCTTCACCCAGGTAGTCGGCCATGAACGGAAGGACTTGTGCCATCTTTCGGCCCAGAGCATTGTGTCGCATCATGTAAGCACTCTTGAAGAAGGATTTGACCCATGTGGCGAAATTGGGTTCCCAGCCTTCTTGTGCCACAAAGCCCATGGGCTCACCGAAAGCATACTGAGAGATGACGTCTGCAGTGTAGCAATTGAAGGCTTCCTTGACGTCGAATGCACCTTTACCAGCCGAAGCTAGCATCTTGTTCGCCACCATGGTCGCAAAGTCCTGCACCTCGCCCTCCAACTTCAACATTTGCTGACGGGAGAAGAACTTGCTCAACGGTGCTTTCCGCTGACGATGGAGCTCATGGTTGACTGTGGAAAAGCCGGTGACTGAAACAGGTCCTGCTCCGCCAGTGTTCAATTGATGCTGCCACTTATCCCGGATACGGCCAGGTCCGGCGTAGATCTCATCGGTGAAGGCTGGGTCAGCACAATGCAGTTCGTCTGGATTGATGCGGACAATAGGCCCATATTGTTCGTGCATGCGAGCGATGACCTTGCCATATCGACCCAACAGCCACCAGTCGTAGTATGCTTCGTAGAGATACGACGCGGCAGCGATCTTTGGACCAGGGAAACGAGCAAGGGGGTGAAATGGCGAGATGTTGTAGAGCGCAATAGCGATCCGGTAGCCGATCCAGAGAGCGCCCAGCCAAAGAAAGCTGGTAAAAGAGAAAGTCGACCTTAGGCCAGATGAAAGGCCCGATTGCTCGTCCATGTTGGTGTTGGACAGTTTAGCGATGCACAACTGCACAAGGAAGGAGCGAATGCTTCACCAAATTCCAGCGAGAGCAACGGTATATATCAATCTGACACAAAGTACGCTTCTGATATGGCCATAGGGTCGATCCCTTCTCGTTGTAATCGCCAGATTTTGCAGCAGTGCCGCCATTGGCGATAAGCCGATGCATTGCATACCAAGCGCCGAAGTTTCTCCGCGCCGGCCCACTGAAATGTTGATTTGGACTCGGTATGATTGGCGTCTGCGGCTTTTGCTGATCCACAGGCCACATGGGAAGAGCGTTGAAAACCCTGAGCGGAAGTGCACGCCCCTCGATAACGGGGAGAAGTGTGATTTGAGTCAGGCGAGATCCGCCATGTCAACGCCTTTTGACACATATCTATCAGCGTTACCCTCGTCATCATATCTACTCACCAACGGGAAACACCCAAGGTTGTCAGTAATCAATATCTCATCAATATTGTTGTTTGATTTGTTTGATTCGGAGCCAACCAACTAACCAACAGTTAGCCACTGTATTTCTGTCAATCAATCAACCAATCTTGAGAACAAAATGTTGATAGGATTGGTGTTGTTTGATAGTAAGCGAGGGAGGGGGATACCTAGGTGAGGCCTCTGGGATAGCTGCTCAACGACGAATTCTTAGTGTTGGATCTTGCTTACTAAGCCTACTCGCGTGTAAGTTATATGACCTAGGTTCCATCCCATCTCTCACTCACTCCAGGCTAGTACGTACGAGGCTTAGCGCCCACAACGCTAGCTGGCAGAGACATAGATCTCAATTCCTGTAGCACAATACACAACACGATTCACACATGTTCTATTCCTAGTGCTACTGACATCAGGCTTATAACATTTAACAACACCTTACTTTCTCGCGGCTCCGGCTTACTTTTAGCCTTATCCATGCCCTCTATACCAGCAAAACGCAAGCCCGAGGCTGCCGAAGAAGCTGATACTCCCTTCAAGCGAGCACAACGTACGCGCAAACCTACGCTCAAAGCGCTGTTGGGTGACGGCAGCCAGCCAACCCAGCCGATAGAGCTGCCAGAAAGTACGCCGGATCCGCCTACAGAGCCGCCTACACAAGTTATCGAGCCGCCCACACGGGCTATTGAACCGCCATGTAAGCCTGTACAACAACCCGAGGAGCGCCCTCGGCGGGCATCACCACTGCCTATTTTGGCTGCCTCACAAGCCTCTCGGCTCACTGATGAGCCAGCCTGGGAGTCGCAGTTAATGTTTGATAAGCCAGAGGACTCTATTGTACAGCCTTTAGCTTTCTCTAGCGCTGCCACTGAGGCTTCGGTGGAGGAGGATAGCGCTGTGAGCGTCGATTTTCGCGACTTTGAGGGCGTCGATTGGTCGCGATTAAAGGGGTTTGTCGCGCCGCTGAGCACTCCACGAGGCAAGGCAAGCTGGATTTTTCAACACGGCTGGCGTGTCTGGAAGGAGGGTACTCACCACCCAGATGAGTTGTACTTTGTGTGCAAGTACTGTCATATTCATAAGCTACCTAATGGTGTACACCGAGTAACGAAGTCAACCACTGCCGCCAACGGGCACCTCCAGCTTGATAAACCTGGTCATCGGCTCAGCAAAGATGGTCCAATCCTAAGCAAACCTCTCCGCAAACATGGACAACAATCACTTCGTCAGGCAGCTCTAAGCGGTGTCAAATTTAGTCTAGAGGCGTACAAGACTATAGGAAACTTCGACGTACAAGAATTTCGGCAGGCAGCTGCGCTCTGGCTGGTCGACAACAACAGACCACTCCGCGAGTTTGAGACGCCGGCTTTTCGCAAGATGATCAGGCTTGCTAATCCTGAGGCAGAGGCGGCGTTATGGAGGTCTCATAACAGCGTGTCAGCGTTCGTGATGAGGTTGTACAGTTGGCTACGGCCTCAGGTGGTGCGCGCGTTGGCTGAAGCCGAGAGCAAGGTACATATAAGCTTCGATGGGTGGACGACAAAAGGCGGCAAACGTGGCTTCTTTTCTGTAGTTGCTCACTACGCCAACAGTAAGGGCGCGATAGTTGACCTACCCATCGCGCTGCCGCAGCTGGTGGGTGCCCACACTGGTGAGGCGATAGCTGACGCTGTAACCAAAATCCTGCAATCCTTCAGCATTAATCGCAGCAAACTCGGCTACTTTGTGCTCGATAACGCTTACAATAACGACACCGCTGTTAACAAACTCGCCGCGATGTACCACTTTTCTGCCTCCGATCGCCGCCTCCGCTGCGCTTGCCACATACTTAACCTTGTTGGCCAAACGATTATGTTCGGGAGGGATGCTGACGCGTATAACAACGCCCTGGAGAACACAAAGATGGAGGATTTTTACATGAAGGAGTGGCGGAAAGAAGGACCGCTTGGCGTGTATCTTGATATTATCAACTACATCAACACGCCGAAGCAGTGGAGCATTTTTGAAGATTGCCAACGCGAGGCAGTTAACAGCATGCCCACAGGCGCCAGCGGCGGCACTCGCGAGCCAATTAAGCCGTGTGTTACACGTTGGAACAGCTATTACGACTGCTTTAAGCGCGGAGTTCAGCTCCAACAAGCTATCAACGCATACGCCACGTACCACATTCGCGAGACTGAACAGGCTGACGAACAGGCAGCTATTAGAGGAAACAAGCTGCCTGATGTGCCGCGGTGGATGAGGTCAGACGGCCTTACGGCGGCTGACTGGGCGGTGATTACTGAGTACATGGCGATACTGCAGCCGCTCAAGTTTGCTACAGATCGCCTCCAAGGCCGCGGCAAGTGTGGCCGTTTTGGCGCACTCTACGAGGTCATCCCAGTATTTGAGAGTGTGATAACTGAGCTGGATGCACGCCTTCGGCCATACGAATCGGTCAACCACGAGCCATCTGAGGCGCCCGAAGATCACATCCCGATCAACCTGCGAGCCGCGAGGCGAAAAGCGAGCAATTACTTTACTAAGATCCTCCAAAGTCCCATTTACTACGCAGCTACGGCACTACATCCACGATATAAAACATACTCTAAGCGCTTCTGGCGCGACAAACCTACACAATTGAGCACCGCGCACGCGAAGTTTCTGCGGGTTTGGGCTGCCTACAAGCCTGCCGCTGCTGCCACAACACCAACCCCTGCGCCAAAACCTACCATGAGCAGCTTTGACGACGCTATCGACGCTATACTAGATGAGGACGGCGAGCATACATTGGAGGTGGAGGATGAGTACGATAGCTGGTTAAAAGAGCCTATGTGGACGTCTGATCAACACAAGGAGGGTCCAACAGCTGTACAGTACTGGTTATCGTTGAAGCCGAAGTATCCACATCTTTCACGATTGGCGATCGACGTGTTGACTATACCCGCCTCCAGCTCTGATTGTGAGCGCGTTTTTGCGGGAACTGGCGATATAATTGAGCCACAAAGGCGGAAAATTGGCGCGCAGTTACTGGCTGCTTTGGTGTGCTTGCAACGGTGGACTCGTGCAGGTTTTACAACACCAAGCACGACAACAGCAGCAAAGCATACTGATGAGGAGCTCACGGAAGAGTTTGCGATAGGAACGTGGGAAGAGCCGCCTGCAGAATTGTCATAGAAACGTCCCTTCAGAACCTTAAGTCTATCAATATTCAATCAATCAACCAACCAAAAATTGGCTCTTCAGTCTCATCAACTCAAACAAACAAACTGTAGCCCTAAGAAATGAGCCAGTCAATCAACATCTACGCCTCAAATGTTGGTTGTTTTGTTTGTTGACTTCTCTGGAAACACCAGAGTAAGACCATGGTGAGCAAAAAAGGGTCCTGCACCCTGTCCATGTTCGGGAAAATTCTCTTCGCTTACTGCACTGGTAGAATGCGAGTCAATCGCGCCAACAATGCATGCCCAAGCATCTGGAGACGACGGCGAGGCTCTGCGATATGGCCGAATATCCAACCACTAACGGGGGCGGAACGGTCAAGGCACGGTTAGGGCGTCCGGCTCTGCACCTTGGCGTGGTGGGACTGATCCCGAGCTAGACTGTTTCACTATCGGCTCCTCCCTGGCTTCCGCCTGCCGCTGTCTGCTTACGGATTGGAAATTCTCCTTCACAGTTCCAGGGTAGGTCATACGATCCAGGCTAAGGATGCCTCATTACGATCGTCAGCACACCTAAGCGATTCTGCATCTTCTCCCGGCGAACTCGGGCCTAACACGAAAAGAAAGCCCACTCACTTTTTCGACCACTCTCGCTCTGGCGATGATGTTAAGGAGTGTGCTGACAGACAGGGGACGGGATCCGCGTTGCGGTTCTCTACCCACTACCCCGTCCTGCATGCCATGAATGATCAACGAGAATAGTAACCCTGGAGATGGGTGCCATGTCATGTGCCTGCCCAGCTTGCTTCTGCTTCTTGACCATACTCCTACACCTCCTCCAACCCATTGACACGTTCGTTGCCTTTGCGCTCTCTTCAACTTCAATTCCCTGAGGCGGGCTCCACTCTTCTCGGCCCTGTCTGACTCTTCATCTTATTGCCATAGACTGCACTGTCTTTGTGCACTGCCAGCACGAGAAAATATGTTGGACACGGCCAGTTTGCCCATAACGAGGAGTTCGCGTGACTCGCTCATAGCGATATCATGTTTATGGGTCGTGTTTGCAGGAACGATAGGTCTTCGATTCCATGGGCGCATACGAGGACCCGGTTTGTCACTGGATGATATGTTCGCAGGTGTCGCATTCGTACGTTGAGCCAGTCCAGAGTCAAATGTCACTTCAACTTACATACCTCAGGTGCTCACAACGACAACGATTGGCCTGTGTTCAGCGGGTAAGATGTCAGTTCAAGTGAAATAGCGAGCATAATACTAACAATGGTAGTCTATACCAGCGGCGTTGGTTACGACTTCTATGACACAAACGAAGAATACCCCCTGCGTGAGTATAAGTATACAAACTTCATATTACAAGATTGTACCGTCTGACTCTAACATACAGTCGTTCACAATCTGCCGTACATTATGCAGATCACGTTTGCCTTTACTCTCATCTACATTTGGAGTCTAGCCGCACTCAAGCTTTCCTAATTGGCACTTTACCACCGCGTCTTCGTCCTCCAGCTACGCATCCCGGTCTACATTGTTGGCGGCATAGTAGTCGCGTGGGCCCTGATCTTCAACTTCGTCTTCATCTTCCTCTGCGATCCCATCTCCCAACAGTGGACCATTCAGCGTGTCGGACACTGCATGGACCAGATGCTGTTGCTCAAGTTCCTGATCCTGTCAAACATGGTGACTGATCTCATGATCGTAGTGCTTCCGATCCACTCGGTTTGGCAACTCCAGATGAGGAAGACGGAAAAGTTCGCCGTGTTGGCTTGTTTCGGTTTGGGTCTGGCATGTGTAATCATTGGTATCGCGCGCATCATTCTGGTCTACACCATCGGTAAGTCACCCACTTTTGATTTGCCCCAGGTAGAGACTAATGCGTCGTAGATCTTATCGGGAACCTCACGGGAACATCAGGCACCACGTTCATGCTGTGCACCATCGAATTGATGTTGGCAGGCTTGTGTGTCAACATCCCCATGCTACGCCCCTTTTACCTCGCATGGCGCAGGAGGTACAAGGAATCGTCCTCGAACAACAGCGAAAGTGGTCTCAAGAGGTCGGGCACTGGCCCAAACCAGCAAAGACCAGGGCAGTACACGCAGTGGATGGAGCTGGTGAGTCGTCCTATAATACAAAAAAAGCAAAAGTCAAACTAACACGATTCAGGCGGACAAAGATATGACCAACGTGACCGTCACGGGTGATGATGCGAGCTCGGAAAGAAAACTTACTGCGGAACCCTTGCCCTTCGATGCTATACAGGTGTCCAAGGACTTTGTAGTCACGCACCAATAAGTTGGTACTTTGTTTTCAGCAATTCGGCGCGATCTACAGTGGCGTGACGACCGATTCAGTCACAAGCGCACCCGGGTGGCACAAAATACTTTACATGCTGGTGTATACAAGCCACTGTAGCCGCCATCCATGCCTACCCACACTGTCAAGTATTTCATGTCACCCAGGTCAACGAACGCTTCGGGTACTGGGCCCGCGGCTGAGGGGTGTATCGGACGGTTACGCACGATCAGCAGAAACAGTACATATCTGAGTACCCCTCACCCCTCTTTTGACCGTGCGTTCCGACACATGTCAGCTCCTGCACACTCACGAAAAAAGTCGTGGTCACGACATACACACTATGAGGGATAGACGCGATGAAAGAGCCAGGGTTTGACAACCTGTACAACAAAACATATGATGAACCAAAGCAAAATAATGTAAACAAACCAAACCAATACCATGTACAAAACTTCATTTTCCTCCCCCTCCCCCACCATCACATTCACCGTGGACTCGCTCTAGCCAACCACGCCCTAATCCCCTCTGTGTGTCTCCTCGGCAGGCCCTCCCACCTCGCTTCATCATACGTAGCGTCGAGCCCCTTGAGCAAGTTCTGCGCCTTCCTGAGCGCCACCCTCTTAGCCCCTGCCCAAGGCGTCTTATCAATAAACGCGTCCGCCTCCCCCAGCAACTCCATGCGCCTATCCCGAACCTCCTTGCCGTCCTTATCCTCCGTCTCGCACAGCCTACAAAAGCAGCGAAACCCCCACGTGCGGTCCAAAAACCCCTGCCTCGTCTCGTAGTCTAGCGACGCATCGTACGGATGGAAGATTTCCTCGCCGGCCTTGATATCACGTGTGGCGCGGATGATGAGCAGATCGCCCGCGAATTCTTTTGCTGTGTTCGCCAGACAAGAGTGGTTGATGTAGGCAGCATGGATCCAGAGTCCTGTGCTGGCATTTCGTGCGCTTTCCTCGCCGAATTGGCTACCCGGCCCGAAGCCGTTGCGTGACATGATGTCGTGGACGCGGAAGACGTCTACGACGGGTCCGTCGGCGTTGACAAACACGTTTGCGACGTCGCCTACGTAGTCGCCGAAGAGGTCCATGAAGCCGTCTGTTAGACTGGGTTGGTTTAGACATTTTTGAACGAGCGCTTTGGCGAGGCCGAGGGGCGCAACGCGGATTCGAGAGTCCCGTACGTCGTAGGTCATGGCGGTTAGGGTGTCTGGTTCGTGGCCCCAGACTACGCAAAAGGCTTTTTCGCATATGACGATGTCCCCGGCGGGTATGTCGCAGGTTGCGTAGAGGCCGCGACCTTTGCCAGGGCTTTGTTTGATTTCGGTCTTGAGAATAAAGTTTCCGGCGTCGATGCGGGAGCGGGCTTTGGAGAGGGAAGTGCGGATTTTGAAGAGGTCGTAGGATCCGGTTTGTTCTTCGCGGAGGCGGGCTTCGATCTTTTTGAGTTGGGACTTGGCGTCTTTGTCGTCGGGGGTGAGGGATTGTTGTTGGAGGAAGTGGTCTTTGGCTACGTGCCACCGGCTTTGGTTGTAAGCGGCCATGCCGGCGCGGTAGAAGGCTTTGCTGTCTAGTTCGTTGGATTTGGTGTCTTCTCTGCCTGTCAAGGAGGCTCGCGCGTCTGTTTGGACTTCGTCTAAGCGGCCCAGCAGAAGATTCACATAAGCGCGGTTGCGGTAGATGTCCCGGGCCAGATCTGGATTCGAGTCTGATACGATACTCTGCGTTGCGATTGCCAGACCCGCAGAGTACTTGTCAAGTGCCACTGGCAGATCCTGCTTCTTGAGGGCGTCATTGCCCTCCTTTTTGAACCTAGTTGCCGCCTTTTCAGCCGCTGCTGTATCCTCGAATGTCTTGAGGTTCAGGATATCCTGATTGCAAATCACCAAGTCGGAGGGATGGTCGATGCGGAGTGTAGGCTCCCCCTGGTCAGTGAGGGTAAAGTATGGTTCTTTGATGATGAAGAGCTTCGTCGATTCCAGTATATCTTCCCCGTACCGAGATTTGTGAAGTGAAATTTCCAGACGCTCAGAGTCGCTGCCGTCTTCTTCTTGAACCATGGTCCACGATCTTGCTACAAGCGTGACTACCGGACTCTCTCGCTTGACTGTTAGCTTTCGGCCTCGATGATGAGTCTCCATGCGAAGATCAGCCATCTTTATGGGTTCCAACTCGGATACTGGCACTTTACATGGCGCGTATGGCCGTCCTACTCCAATCGCCGGAATGGTACTTGCGGTCTTGCCTTGGGTTTGTAACAAATCCGGATCTGGTGCGCCGCCCATATCGGCCATGAGAGCAGCGCCAGTGGCTTGTTGATGAGCCGCTACCTTGTCTCTCGGTACTTTTGGATTCCCATGTTGTTCTGTGCACTTCTTTATTCGCTCTTCTACTGTGTTCTTAATGCGCTCCGCCTCTTTTTCCGTAAGATATATAGTGTTGTCTTCCCGTTGAGTGTTCGCCATCTTGAAAAAGCCTGCGTCTTAGAGGGGTTCTCTTGACGCAATTGTTGTTGATCCCCTATTTTCGTTGTGTCGCTTGACTTTGTCTTTTTTTCTGTGGTCGCTCTATTGCAGTGACGTGTATGAAAACCAGACGACAAAATCAGCCACATCAATATACCGCTCATGCAACCAAAACCGGTCTATTGAGCCAAAGGCAGCAAGTCTCCTTCCAAAAGAAAATGATATGAATATTTGTTGTTGTCGAATTCTGCCACAACCCACGACGCCTGCGAAAGGTCGATTTTGGAGGGGCTGCGGCTAGAGGAAATTTGTTATCGATAAAAGTGGGGCAGGAAAGCGACACCTGAGAAGACGCGGAAGTGAAAGCCGTCCCTTGGCTCTGACTTCGGCAAACATCAATATCAACACCAACTGCCAACTGCCAACTGCCAACGACGAGTCTCCGCCATGAAGAAACATAGCCCCGGTTCATACTACTTCCACACACTCGAGCTCTCCGCCCCCGCCTTCTTCCCCTCCTGATACGTCTCACTCAGCCCATTATACAACGCCTTAACCCTCTTAATCTCCCCTTCCAACCCCGTCCTCACCCCCTCATCCCCAATTTTACCCACAAGATCCTTGAAGCTCTTCGCCGTGAAAAACTTATTCTTCCTGTTATACAACTGTCTTTTCTGCACACCATTTTCGCTCTCGCCCTCACCCTTGACCCTAAACACCTCTTGCAGGATATCAATATCATACGGGATACCAAACAGATCGCGGCTATCCTCGTAGGTAAACAGGTAGTAGAACTCGTTGAAACCAGCCCATGTGATGCCGCTCAGACACAGCGAACAGGGCTCATGGGTGGCGAGGAAGATGCAGTCTTTTGCGGGATGCGGCCGTGTAGAAGGGTTGGGATAGTCGACGGTAAAGAATTTCTGGATGCAGTTTATTTCGCCGTGGAGGAGGGGGGAGAGGCGCTCGTTGTTTGTGGCGAGGGTGTAGGGGGTTAGGTCGGTGCGGGAGAGGATGGCGGCACCGAAGAGCTTGGAGCCGGTTGAGACGCCTTGTTTTGTGAGGGGAATGATGTGAGATTCGATTGTGGAGAGGAGCTTTGTGACGAGTTGTTCGGGATGTGGTGGAGTGGACATTTCGTTATGGGGGTTGATGGGAGATTTGGTTAGGGGCGAGGGAGAGAGACTTCAGGGGGGTTTCCTCAAGCTCAAAACAGTGGAATGTTAGAATCAAGTCTCAATTCTAGCCTTTGGGTCCTTTATCTGGTTATACAACTGTTGTTGTTCCTTCGGAGCCCACCGGTGGCTGTCGGTGCGGGGCTTGCCGATATCTTTGCAGTGGGGCACTCCCGTCCTCACATTCAGACCTCGCATCTCGCCTGTTGCTGTCATGGTATCATTCATCACATCTCAATCAGAAATAGATCATTGAAATATCAGTCAATCGCATAGTAGTTACTAGCAAATCTGACGCATCGCTCTCCACTCTCAACCCCCCATGAGACACTTAATACCACAACACTCACAAATCCACAAACTCCCCCTTCAACAGAGGATCTTCCCTCACTTGATTCAAGTACCCCTCCACCTTCGCCGTCAAAGCCGGCACATCGAACCCGAAATACTTATAAGCAGCTTTCCCCGGCAAACTATGTCCAAACCGCTTAATACAACAAGCCGCATCGGCATACCTCTCCCATCCATTCGGCGCAAACGGTTCAATGACCACAGCAGGAATACCCTCATGCCTTCTTAGTGTCTCGCGCTTATATTTTATCTCCTGCCCCTCGAAAAGACGCTGGCAAGGGAAACTAACGACGCGAGCAGTAATGTTCCTTGCTTTTAGCTCCTTCACTACATCAACAGCGTGGTGCAGTTCTGCCCCAACGCCGATTAATGTGATGTCTGCGTTTTCAGCTTCTAGGAGCACGTAGGCGCCTTTTGCGACCTTGTCGCGCGAGGTTTGGGGTAGCTGGGGTAGTGCATGGCGCGAGGTGGAGATTATGCTGGGTGTATTTTTTGCGGAGATGGCTGTTATCCAGGCGCCGGCTGTTTCTTCGCTATCGGCCGGGCGGATGTAGAGGAGGTTGGGCATGGCACGGTAGAGGTTTGCGAGTTCAATGGGTTGATGTGTGGGGCCGTCTTCGCCCATTCCGATGCTGGGTTCGGAATTAGAAGGGGGCTTTCGGAAGGGATGGGGACAGTCTTACCTGTCGTGTGTTGCTGCGTGGATGACTTGGAGTTGCTGTAGTGCGCCCATGCGGACTGCGGGTGCGGAGTAAAAGTAGAACATCATGAAGCTTGAGGTGATCGGTATGAAGGTGTTGGGGGCAAAAGCAGCTAGGCCGTTGCTTATAGCCGCCATGCTATGCTCCCTCACTCCGAAGTGAATGTACCTGCCGGTGTAGTTTCCGTTTATCCCACAAGTCGTTTTGAGATCTGGGTGTTGGAAATCGATTTTACCGTTCCAACTCATGTGGACCGATGGAGTAAGATCAGCGGTACCGACCATGAAATTGTTGATTTTCTCTGCGATTGGATTGATGACGAGGCCTGATGACTTCCTCGTCGCCGTGGGTGTGTCCAGGAAAGAGCTTGGCACTAAGTCTTTCCAGTTCTCCGGCAACTGGCCTTGTATTCTCCGCCTGAAGTCAGCGCCGTCCTCGGGATACTTGGTTTCATATATCTGAATCATCTTCTCCCATTCTTCCACAAGTTTTTGGCCTCTTTCGGGTAAATCAACAAAGAACTTGCGGACTTCTTTGCTCACCACAAAGTGCTCTTCAGGATCAAACCCATACGCCTTCTTCATGTTGGCAACATCGGTCGCACCAAAAGCTTGTCCGTGGGCGACTGCATCTCCTGCGACGGCGCTACCGAGGCCGATGACCGTTTTGACGTTGATGAAAGTGGGCTTGTCACTCGCTGAACGCGCCTTGTTCAGGGCTTCAACAAGACCTTCGACATCAAAGCAGCCGTCCTCGATATCGATGACATTCCACCCACAAGCCTTCATCTTAGCGTTGACATCCTCGGTGTTTGTCAAGTCGACAGAGCCATCGCAAGTAACCTGATTGTTGTCGTAGATGATGGTAAGATTGTTCAGTTTCAAGTGACCGGCGAAAGAAATCGCTTCCAAGGCTACACCCTCTTGTAGGCAAGCATCTCCAACCATACACCATGTGTGGTTGGAGACGACGTCGAAACCTGGCTTGTTGTAGGTGGCTTGGAGGTTCTTGGTTGCCATCGCCAGACCGACGGCATTGGCTACACCTTGTCCCAGTGGTCCGGTAGTCACCTCGATGCCTTCATGTTCCATCTCAGGATGACCTGGACATAGGGTGTCGACCTTATCGGAATGATAGGACTTTAGTTGGTCGAAAGTCATGGCTTTGTAGCCTGTGAGGTGGAGGAACGTGTACTGGAAAAGACATGTATGGCCTATTGCATTTAGTCACCTCGTCTGTTGCAAAACAAATGCCAGCTCTCAAACTCACCATTTGATAAGACGAATCGATCGCGGTTGAAGTAGGTGGGTGTGTGCGGTGCATATCGCATAACATACTTCCATAACGCCACACCAATGGCTGCCATACCAATGGCTCCTCTACATTGCGTTAGCATCTACTCCCAGTCTCATTCATCAGTGCAATCTACCCAGGATGCCCGCCATTGAATTGCTGACACAAATCCGCAATCAACAGTCTAAATGTCTTCAAGACCAGATCGTGCTCCTTGGAAAGTTTCTGAACCGAAGCCTGTTCCACCTGCTCCTCTTTCTTCAGACCTTTCACCAGATTTTTTCCATACTCGGTGGATCCATTGAGCTCTGGTGCGTCCTGTGACGTATGCATCATGTGTGCTTTCTCGTGAGGCGTAATATTTCGAATCGGCGACATCGAACCACTAAGAAAGTGCAAAGACGGGCCAAAATGCAAGTTCCAGTCGCTCCAAAGTCAAGAATAAGAAAAGGCTGTATCCAAGTGGGTTTAAATGCTGGCTGGGGCAGACAACGATAGTTGTTCGAGATACATCCATCTATCCACCCACCGGAAGTTCCCAAAACGGCAACCCGATGCATCGCGACTATAGCCGGTCTAGTTTCCTATTGGTGAAGCCATGTTTACTGACGAAAGTGGTAATTACAGGCTCCCATCTAGGTAAATAAAATACTAAACGCGCTGGTGTTACAAAGGCTACTACTATAAGCGCTAGACACGCCTGCATGCAATGGTGGGATTTACCAGTCAAGGGTACATAGGTACCTGGGTATCTTCTGTCACCCGGGTGCTCCGGTAACTTTGTTAACAATGTCCAATCCCGGTCCTAACAAGTTTCCCCGCACCCTGGCCATGGCTCTCGGTACCGGATGGAACTGTATTCCGTTGTTAGAAGTACCCAGGTATAGTATAGTAAGATGGAGCAGAGAGTACGTACACATCGTATATATACCACAACCATCGTTCCAACTCTTCCTTTTGCTTCCCACGATCAATTTTTCGCGAAAGAAAATTGTTGTAGAAGAACTAGACCATGGCGCAAAAATCAGTAGTGTATCCGTCCGCGTCTGATGAGTCTGCCTCTAACGCATTCCACACAGGAAACCACCGCGTCCACGCCCGCGACTATCAAAACATCGCTACCAAATCCCTCATTACAAGTAACCGCAGACCATCAATTGAAGCTACAAGAAGCGCCTGTACATGCACCAAACCATGGAGAAGTCCTCCTTCATATCAAAGCGACCGGCGTGTGCAGGTAAGCCAGCCCAGACAACATATACCCCACACAACCCACACTTCCTAATCCCAACACAAATCAGATCCGACATCCATTTCTGGAAATCTGGTAGAATAGGCGATAGAATCATATAAGAAGACTATATACTCGGCCACGAAGCCGCAGGCATCGTGCTCCAATGCGGCGAGGGCGTTACAACACTCCAACCCGGTAACTACTGTCCCCACAATCCAGTTCACCACACAGATTCTAACACCACCACCACCTTCCAGGCGATCGTGTAGCAATAGAACCCGGAATCCCATGCACTATGTGTTTCCTCTGCACAAGCGGGCGGTACAACCTCTGCAAAAACGTCGCTTTCCTCGGCGTATACCCTACAAACGGTACTATCCAACGGTACAAAACCCACCCAGCTCGATACTGTCATAAGCTGCCTCCCAATGTTTCCTACGTCGAAGGCGCCCTGCTTGAACCGCTGTCTGTCGTCCTGCAGGCTGTTAAATCCGCGGATTTCTCGCTAGGTCGTGGGGCGCTCATCTGCGGCGCTGGACCTATTGGTCTTATGGCCTTGGCTGCGGCGAGGGCAAGCGGTGCTCATCCGCTTGTGATTACGGATTTGGAACCGGGGCGCTTGGTTTTTGCGCAGAAGTTTGTGCCGGCGGTAAAAACGTATTTGGTGGATAGGGGGCTGGATGCGAAGGGGAATGCGGAGAAAATCCGGGTGTTGTTTGAAGGTGGGGGTGGGGGTGTGGGCGAATATGGGGCGCCGCAGACGGTGCTGGAGTGTACGGGGGCGAAGAGTAGTGTTGCTACTGCTGTGTATGCGGCGAGGTTGGGTGGAACGGTTGTTGTGATAGGTGTTGGAGCTGAATTGATGAATAATTTGCCCTTTATGCATCTTATTGGTTCAGAAATATGGGCTCTTACTTTTTCTTTGGACTGTTTACTGACTCGTGGTCTAGATCAAACTCAAGTTTAGTCAACGTTATTGTGATACTTGGCCAGCGGGTCTACAGTGTCTTGCTGGTGGTATCGTAGATCTTAAACCAATGGTTACCCACACATTTCCGTTGGAGAAGGCGGTTGACGCACTGCATATATGTGGAGACTATGGTAATGGTAGTGTAAAGGTGCAAATTGTTGATGAAGTAGATGACGTGCTGTGATAATTGGAGTGAAAAATAGAGAGTTTGTTGTTTAAGCACTACCTTCATTCATTGGTCTTCGTTGTGATTTGGGAGCGATATTATTCCTGAACCCGCAGGAAAGTGACGCCATCAAATCTTACATGTTACCATCCGTTCTCTTCAAAAACTCCCACATAGCTCTTACAACAGCAAGTCCACTGCCTTGAGTCTCAACCGTTCTCCCCCTTCCCCGATCATTGAGATCGCCGCCATTTCGTGTCGCTGTCTTATCACTGTCGTATTGAAACCAACCAATTCTCTCATCAAGACTGATCTCCGTGTACAAATCATCATAAGAATGCACGTGAACATTGCGATAATCGGTTGCGTTCTCTGGCAACACAGGGATGAGACGGGACGCCGATTGGCTGGGGGGCGTGAATTCAGGAGCACCCCACCAGCATCCGAATTTGCCTTCCGAGTCTCGCGTTTTGAGGGCGGCTTGCGCGTTGTGTACGACCCAGGCGGTATGCCCTCTACAGCTGTTGTCATGTAGCATGGCTACTTCGCGACTCGCTGCGTGTGTTTTCCCTAGCCTGGTTGGGCGAGTGGGCAAGGGTTCGCAAAAGGCTGTGAGGTGGTGGAAGAAGATGCCCTTGAAGGTTTGCCCGTCTTGATTGCAGTGACCAGATGGATCACACAGTTCTGTAAGAATACCATTGTAGCCCAGACCGGCCCATTCGTTAGATATGACATCTTGACCATCTGCTGCGTTCTTATCGTTTTCCTGCGTCAATCTCGTGGAAGAAGGTGTGTACGATTTGGTTTTCTTCCAACCGGTAGCCCACACTACATTCCGAATAAGTTCATGCCCGTCTTCAAGGTACGAAGTCTCCCCTGTGGCCTCCCACAGGCCTCTGAGACCAGAGAGGAGAACACCCTGGTTGTACGTATACACCATCTCATTTCGCTCATCGCATGTCGTCTTGCTATGATTTGTGCGATATCCGCCAATATGGAAGCCGTCCACATAGAGGCCTTGGGCATTGGTCATGTTACTCTGTTTGAGCCAGTTGTAAGCATTCAGTGCGTTCGCAAGATACACAGGATCGTAGCGTTCTCGATTCTTGCTGTCGCAGTCGTCGTATAGTTGATCCTCATGCGGCCGCGACTTGCCATGCTGCAAGATGAAAGGCGAGCAATTCGAGTCTCCAGCAAAGTGGAGATACATGCTGATGCTTGCTGAGATGAATAGCTGGTTCGTAATCGCATTCTTGTATGGCAATAAACTTGGGTTCCACGTCATTCCACCTCCGCAAAGTCTCCAATCCCACCCTTTTTCTGCCAATTCATAGAACACGCGCGAGCGATGTGAAAAAGCGGGTACGAACTGGGACGCATGCCATTCCTTTCCTCCAGCTTTGTTAGGCGTGTAGTGTCCAACGGAATGGCTTTCAACGAATCTTGTGGCCTCCAGCCAACCCAACACTACCCATAGCATGTCATCGAAAGCTTGCATCCTTATCGCAAAGTGATCTTCGCCAAAGTAGTAGGCAGAAGTCTGCGCAAAGTACTTGTTTATCTCGTTCTCGACCCTCTGCGCCTCGACATCCAGTTTCCGACTCTTGTCGAATGTTCCGGGCATCGTGTAGGAGAGCGAGCGGGAAAGCGAGGAGAGGGTAGAAGAGACGTACGTGGACATCACAGCGCCCGTCCAGTCTATGGCTGATGTGTATTTACCGAGCCATACCTCGAAGTAGTGGTCTTGCATCGTAGAGAGGGTAGAGTGAAGATCGCGCAGGATGTTGGTCTCGGCGAGGGAATAGCTGGGCGTGTCTTTGGGGGTTTCGTTCGAGGTCTCTTGGGATGGTGATGGAGTATCATGAATAGCATGTTGGTTCTTGGGCTCATAAAACGGCTCCCCTGTTTCTCGACCTGTCAGTGCGTTCAAGTCGGAGAGGCAAACTGCATGTCGTACCCTGGGAAGCTGATTGTTTTATGCTTTCAGCTATCGAAACGGTCGCAAATGCGAATATAAACAACAGCAACACAACAGGCAACCGCCAGACCTGCGCGCTTCGTGATAATGCCATTACTGGCTCGCAAAGGTCGTATCTATCCAACTACACGGCAGCTGGGGTTGAAGGTTGGACGATGCGAAGCCCAAGACCTACGTAGATGCTCAACATTCGATTGCCATTCAGCGATTCAGCACTATGCGCATAGGGCGGAAGAACAAGCTTCCAGTCGGTCATTGGAGTCACGGACGAGTGGAGATGTGCCGCGAATGCATGAGGCGTTCGATCCTGGCCAAGCTCAGCTTCCCGCGCGCGGCGCTTCTCATGGCTTCCCGTTCTCTGCGGCAGGGACTTGCAGCGAAGACATGACTTTAAAATAGAGATAGCTGGGACATGGAACTCGTCGTATCGTTGCGTGATGGAAGACCACAAAAGAGAGAGTCGCCCGTTTGTTGAGCGCGTCGTGAAGCTTGCAACAGGATGCCAAGCCTAGATCCTGAAGGTCGGTGATGCCTGCCCCGCGCTCGCACTCGCACGCTTCTCCTCGCGTGGACCGCCGCACGTGCCACATCCAAAAAAATCAATCCACGAGCCTCAGCACCACTCTTTCCGCCCACAGTAGCCTCCAAAACACGTAAAAAAGCGCAAAAAGAATGTTGAACAGAGTGGGAATCGAACCCACGCCACTTTCGTGACTAGCAGGCTGTACCTGAAGCTAGCGCCTTAACCGCTCGGCCATCTGTCCGATTGCTTTGATGAAAGAAGGGCATGGTACTAAGAAAATATAGGAGGTAAAATATTCATGAGCTCACGTAAGATGCAAATATTGTGGAAGCTTGGCTCACAGGCTCACTCTGCCAAAGTCAGACGATCCCGGGCTACAAGAATCGCTATAGCTAATCTTCACCGGACCATGGCACGAACACGTAATGACACAACCACTGCGGCGGTAATAACGTTTACTTGCAGCCGGGAACCGAAATGAATCCAACACCCGAGCCACATGTAGGCTCGCAGCCGCCTCACGCCACAAATTCGGCCGTGGCCGGATAATGGAACACGAAAAGAAACCTTGCTGTTGCAGCACACACGACATATAGTTGAATCCTTCCTAACGCCGTCTGGTAAATATCCCAAGACCTAGGCCGGAAAGCTTGCTATCGACCGAGAGGTGCCGATCAACGGTATCTCCTGCTTGATCAAGAATCGTGCATGCGCTAGTGACAGCGACTACTATATCACCTTCCGCAAACATGGTTTTGTCTCGAAGAAGCGACCGGGTAGTTATCACCGTCGTCATAAGCGCAAGTGCGTCTAAATGTTGGCAAATATATAGGTGTGTGCCGCCTGCGACGCTGCTGCTCGCCAGCGACTACGTTTTGTTCTACCAACATTATGCGTTTCTCAGTTGTTGTCGCGGCGGTTCTTGGAGGCATCCAGACCGCTTCCGCACTGAAGCTTTCCCCGAGAAGTCTCGCAGAGAGGGATGAGCAGGTAGATACAACTCTCTGAGCTCTACCAATGGCTTTACTGGCCGGTGACGAGACGTATGGAGGCAATGAAAGCTCACAACCAGCCAGGTACAACGACGCAGCCTTGCCAAACGCGCTGATACCGACCCCACATTGTTATACCCGGAACGCAACATCTCGGTGCCTGTTGACTTCTTCCATAACGAGACTCGGTACGAGCCGCACAGTAATGAATCGTTCAATCTAAGGTACTGGTTCGACGACACCTACTACAAGCCAGGCGGACCAGTCTTTGTTCTTCTTGGCGGTGAGACTAACGGGGCGGGCCGTCTGCCTTTCCTACAAAAGGGAATTGTGCACCAAGTCATCAAGGCTACCAACGGCTTGGGCGTCATCCTCGAACACCGCTACTATGGCAAGAGTTTCCCGGTCCCTGACCTCACGACCAAGAACATGCGTTTCTTGACAACTGAGCAATCCCTTGCTGAGATTGACTACTTTGCGAAGAATGTCAAGTTCGAGGGTATTGATGCAGATTTGACTGCCCCGAACACCCCCTGGGTATGGACACTGATGTATTTTTCACCTGATCAAACGCTAACTTCTGTCAGGTCGTTTACGGCGGATCGTATGCTGGAGCGCAGGCTGCGTTCTTGCGAGTTGTCTACCCGGAGACGTTCTGGGGAGCCATCTCATCATCCGGAGTCACAACTGCCATCTATGACTACTGGCAATACTTTGAGCCCGCTCGTCTCTACGGACCTCCTGACTGCATGAAGAACACTCAGCTTCTGATTGACGTTATTGATGGTATCCTCATCCGTCAGAACGATACCTCTTTGGTTCAGTCACTCAAGGATGTGTTTGGACTTGGTGGCATCACTGACAACCGTGACTTTGCCAACCAGATCACTGGTGTTTATGGACTTCAGAGTACTAACTGGGACCCTGAAGAGAACTCAGATTCGTGGTTCAACTACTGCACTAACATTACTGCCGAAGAACCCATTGGTGAGAACTTGCGCCCCACAGTTGCCAAACTCGCCGCAGTATCTGGCTATGTCAACGACACCGTCGTGCAGAACATTACTTTGAACGCGATTGCCTGGATCAACAGCACTGCACTCCGATCATGGCGCAGGTCGAATTCCACCCAGGACTCACACTTTACGACGCTCAACAGTTCCCTGTTGCAGTCATACACTTCCATTGAGGACTACAGCTACACGAGCTGGAGCTACCAAGTCTGCACCGAATGGGGTTACATCCAAACGGGAAACACACCCGCTGATATCATGCCGCTTATTTCTCGTGTCATGGACGTCGAGTACCTAACCTTCTTCTGCCGTGCGCAGTTCGGAATCAACTCACCGCCCGAAATTGAACGCGTCAATAAATACGGCAACTACAGCATCGAGTACGAGCGTCTTGCCATCATCGGCGGCAATGCCGATCCTTGGAGACCTGCGACACCACTCTGGTACCCCAACAGCAGGAATGACACTGTTGAGAAGCCGTGGCATTTGATCAGCCACGGTGTTCACCACTGGGAGGAGAACGGTATTTTCGAGAACCAGACGACGCCTGAGTTACCGCCTGCACAGGTTGTGTATGCGCAGCAGTACCTGAAGAACTTTGTTGTGGACTGGATTCAGGGTAAGTTTTCGTCTTTCATGCCAACGTCTAAGGGGTATTTTGCTGACAAGAGACGCAGAGTTCAATGACCAGAAGAGCCGTATTGAGTTATAATAGCGTGCTGTCGTGTTGTAATGTTCTGACGACTTGAAATCGTTACCCTCGGATTCGCTCGGCGCGACGCCGACAGTCCAAAGTTACATCCGTCCTTACCCATTACTTTAATATACGGGTGATTATCATCATCATCATCCGGCGCTGCAATGGCGATTTCACCACAGAATAACCCTAAGAATCAAACTCACGCCTTGCTCTCAGTAACCCACAAGTTTTCTCCACTGTGCCAAACCGTGCGTGGCATGCCGATTCGAATCTCCCATCAAAAACTCTGTGATGTTACCGTCGAGATCAAGATAGCATAATGCTAATAATCCACAACAGCCTCAAGCCAGAATCTGGCTCCAGTAAAAAGTAAAAAACGAAAATGACGTTATCTCTGTCTTCCTAATCTCCGTTCCGTCCGTTCTACTCCACAACGCTATGACGTAGAAGCCTCATCCCTCTCCACCCCACTACCACACCGCCGTCTGTCCATGCCGGCTCATAAACACAAAACGCTCCATCCGGAAGCAACGGCAGCATCAGCGCTCGTATACAAAGCTCCTAAAATAGTAACGTGATCAACACCATGCCCATTGTCTGGTGTGATCAGCGGTGCTTCGACTCGCCGTAGCTGCACCGGGAGATCTGCGTTGTCAGGCAAGGGGGAGTAAAAGTATTGTTTTCGCCGTTTCCCGGGCGTGACTGGCCCAGTCATTCCTGGCTAAAAGAGCAGGTTAAGCCGACGGGAATGTGATGCCGTGGTATACGAGCTTATGCCTTGTTGGGATCTTCGTTGGTGAAGATGCGTGGTGAGGTGGGAGACAGAGGGAGAGGGAAGGGGAGAGAGCCATGTGAGAGTGAAAGAGGCATTTGCAAGATATTTGTTTTACGAGGACGAACGAACGAACAGAGGTGGGGAAGGTGTACCTGGGAATTGTTTTAGCGGCTTCGGTCGCTTCGGGCCGTTTACTGGGTTTGGCTCGGGAAGGTGGGGGTAGGATGATGGTAGCCGATCGACACATGGCTGGTCAGTGGATGGGGGTAGTGAGATGGAATATGATGGGTTGTAGAAAGTATGGCTATATAAGCACTACCGTGACACTGTTCTCTAAGACTTTTCCTTTTATCTACCAATATACAAGCTGATTCAATCATTCGCTTCTACACCTTAATATCCTAATCTGTTAGAACAAGGTCTCCTCTGGTGGTATGACTACCATAGGCGACCGAGTAGAGGTACGAAAGGTAACCCTGTATTGGATTGAACTTCACTAAGAGCTATTGTTCTATCTACTTGTTGTTATGATGATCTTAGGACGTACATGACAGATCATCATTCCGCGTCGGTCCTTCTGCTCGGGCTTACTCCACGAACCTCACCTCGCCGACCTGGACTGAACCTAACATATTCTTAACACTCCCCCTCAGGGCAGATCCGGTCCAAGGACAACTCCTAATTGGTTCTTGAATCTCTCGAATGCGACTCGCTGCAATGGCTTTGTCATTCCATCAGCCACCATGTCTGCAGTTGGAACGTAGGCCACATCGAGTTTGCCTTGTTCTGCTAGGTCTCGGATAAAATGATAACAGACGTCGATGTGCTTTGATCTTTCGTGAAGGTGAGGGTTCTTTGTAAGTGCAATGGCACCCTGGTTGTCTCCTAGCATCTGGACCTTGTTGGTGTCTTTTCCAATGTACTTTGGGAACCCAAGATCTCTAAACATTTGAGCAATCCACTGGCCTTGCTTGCAGCATGTTGATAGTGCGATGTATTCAGATTCGCAGCTTGACGTTGCAACAGACCGTTGCTTCTTGCTAGACCATGATATTGGACCTCCGTAGAACATTGCAGTGCTCCCTGAAACGCTCTTTCGGTCTACCATGTCGCTTGCCCAGTCAGCATCAGAGTAGATGACAAATTGCGAGTGTACTCCCCCTGGTCCGTAGCGTAGCTTCAATGTCACTGTCGACCTTAGATATCGTAGCAGGTTCTTCAACGCATGGCCATGGTGTTCTGCTGGATCGCTCATGTATTGGCTTAGCTTTCCGAGGGTGAATGCAATGTCTGGACGTGTAAGAACCATAGCAAACATAAGGCTCCCTATCACTTGCTGGTATTCAGTGATGTCGATTCGGGTGTCGTTGTCAGTGGCTGGCCTAAATGAAGTGTAATCTGCAGATGGAATCTTCTTGTCTCTGTGTTGTTTGCTAGACATTCCAAACTTGTCAAGTACTGCGTGTAGGTACTGTTCTTGATCGAGGTAGATTGTGCGGCGCTTTCTGTCTCGCGTAACTCGTACTCCAAGGATCTTATGAATCTCCCCCAGGTTCTTGGTGTTGAATCTTCCAGAAAGCTTCTCGTAGAACCAATCAATTTGAGCTCGATCTTTTGCAGCAGCAGCAATGTCATCAACGTAGACGAGGATACGGAGTTGTTTTTCTTTGTGGATAAACATGCACGGGTCTGCGAGGCTTTGTACGAATCCCCATGCCAGAAGTTCTTTCTTTATCAACAAGTTCCAGTCGCGAGCAGCCTGTTTGAGTCCGTATAAGCTGCGGAGAACTCTAAGGACGTATCCTTTTTTGACTTCTACTCCTTGGGGTTGCTTAAGAAAGATCTCTTCCTTCAAGTGCGACTCTGTGAATGCATTCTTAATGTCAAAGTGGAAACATTCCAGGTTTTCCGCTGCGACAGTGGCCATAAACAGACGTAAGGTGTCCATGCGGACTGTCGGGGCAAAAGTCTCGTTGTAGTCTGTTCCGTGTGCTTGCGTAAAACCTCTTGCCACAAGGCGTGCCTTAAACCTCTCAACAGTCCCGTCGAGATTCGTTTTGACTGTAAAAACCCACTTTGAATCAACCATGTTCGCGTCTTTTGGCTTTGGAACTTCCTCCCAGGTTCGATTCTCTATTAACGCGATTATCTCTTCAAGTATTGCTGCTTTCCATTGCTTTCCATACTTTGGGTCGTTGATAGCTTGCTCGTGTGTCTGGGGGATCTGGATTCCTGCGATCTCGGTTGCTGCGAAAGCCTTCTCAGATAGTCGTGTTTGCTCTTCTGTAAGGCCAACTTGGGCTAGCATAGCTTTAACGATCTTGCTAAATCTCTCGTCCTCAACAATCTCTTCGTTAGACCTCTTCCGTTTGGCTTGTCTAGTGAAGTATCGTGGAATCTCCTTTTCTCGTACAGACTGGGTACACGGTTCTTCGGGCCCCTCTTCGTTCACAAGATTAGGAACCCGCTCATCAGATGGTGCAGTAGGAGGAATAGTAGTTAGCCTCCTTGGTCTTCCTCTGTGACGCTTCACTGGTTCATGAGTTAGCTCTGCCGAAGATGGTTCCATTAGGTTCTCGGAAACTGGTTCTATTGGTTCTGCAGGAGATGGTTCCATTGGTTCGGTAGGAGATGGTTCCATTGGTTCTGCAGGAGATGGTTCCATTCGTTCGGTAGGAGTTGGTTCCATTCGTTCGGCAGGAGATAATTCTAGATCCTTCCTAGGTCTTCCTCTTGGTTTTCGGTCTGGCATCGTATTCTGCGTTCCTTGTGGTCCAGCTGGTATGTTTCGCAGTCGTAGTTCAACTTTCCCTCCAGGGGTGTATTCGTCCACTGACAATCGGCTTGTCCTTGAGGTGTATCCAAGCTCTGGCGAATAGAACTTGAACTGCTTATTTGTTGTCTCAGAATATCCCATAAATACTCCAATTCTGCCACGGTCCACGAGCTTGTCATGTCGTTGGTCTGCTGGAATCGTTTTAGGGTTGATGTACGAATAGCATTTGCTCCCCCATACACGGATGTGGTCAATGGATGGTTTCGTTCCTGTGAATGCCTCTTCAGGACTGACTTGCTTTCCATTGATCATAGGTCCTGTGTTTGTACGGTTGCGTAGGTATGCGTCTGCTTCGACAGCTTCATCCCAAAACTCAATTGGTAAACCAGCGTCTTTCAACATTGCTCTCATATCAGCTTCAGCAGTTTGGATGTTTCGCTCGGCTGGTCCATTCTGGTGTGAGGAAGCAATTGTTGTAGGCTGAATTTCCACGCCTTGTGTAACTCTCCATTCCTCAGCTTGCTGTAGAAGTTCTGGTGCATTGTCGGTTCCAGCAGCTTTGACTTTCTCGCCAGTTTGATGTTCTACAAAGGTCTTCCAGATTCGGAGTTCCCGTTGTGCGTCTCCCTTTTTCTTCAGCGGGATAACCCAGTTTTTCCGCGTGTAGCTATCAATAATTTGGAGGAACCACCTGTTTCCTCGTAGAGATGTTGGAAAGGGTCCAGCAATGTCAAACTGTACTAAGGCTAGCTTCGTGGCCTTGTGCTCTCTTAGCTGCTTAGGGATGCTGTTCTTCATCTTTGTCAGGGAACACACTTCGCAGATTTCAATCTTCTCTGGAACTTGAATCTTCTTCTGGAGAGTTGTAACTTCGTGGAGTTTGGCAATCTTTGTAGGTCCTAGGTGTGCGAAACGTCTGTGATACAGCAGGTATCTCTCCTTTTCATCAACCTTAAGCTCGCTCTTAACTGGTGTATGGGGTTCCGTGCCTAGGAATGCTGTCTCGTGGTATCCATCGGCAATGTGTGACACTACGTAGAGGCCGTCGTCCATAGTTGCTTTAATAATGATCTCCTTTCCTAGTTTGAAGCATAGTACGTGTGAATTGAAACGACCCTTCAGGCCTGCTGCGCAAATTCTTCTCCCTGATAACAAATTGACTCCAAGGTTAGGTACAAGCAGTACTTCTGACAACCATGTCGACGATCCGTCTTTACACACCACTTGAGCTTCTCCTTTCCAGTCTGCATATAATTCTCCCCCTCCAACCCGAACTAGTCTTCGCTTGATCTTGATCATTCGTCTAAACAATGAGGGTTGGTCAGACATGTGGGAGGAGGCGCCAGTGTCGGCAGCCCAAGTAGATGGAGAGGCCTTACCGACAATGTCTTTTGAGAGACGGCATGTCTCAATTTCCTCGGGTTCAGAGTCTGAGGTCTCGGATAATTCATCTGACTCTGAATTGACTTCTTCGGCTCCATATGCTTTGCCAGTCTTTTTGTGAGAATTCCTTTGCTTGAGTGTCTTAATAGGCGGCTTAGATGATTTCTTAGCGTCGTATTCCTTAAGGAGCTTTCGAGCTCTCTCACGTCTTGGACAGTCTCGTACGCCATGGGCTCCGTCACAAAGGAAGCATTGGACCATAAACTTAGTACCAGATTCGGAGTCAGACGATAGTGGTGAGCTCTTGTGATTTCGGCGCTTGTAAGGCGGAACATACTTCTCCGTCTTCCGGAATGCTGGGAGAGCTTTTTCGTCGGCGTCTTGCTGGTCTCGAACCTCCTTCTCTTCCAGAAACTTAAGTTTCTGTTCAACCGTAAGGTTAAGTTGGGCGTTTAAGGTGTCAATCGTAGTCTTAAATTCTTTCGGGAGTGATCTAATAAGAACGAGTAGTAGTGCAGAGTCCTTGTAAGCTCCGTTGGTGTCAGCGTCTGCTGCTACGAGTTTGCGTCGGTATTCCTTTAGCTTTTCCCATGATCCAACAATTGTGTTCCCAGGATTGAATGTGAACGTTTGAATTCTGGTCATGTAAATGTTGGCGGTTGTGGCGTCAGTTTGGGTGTACTTCTTTTGTAGGTAGGCCCAGAACTGGAAGGCAGTGTCGTATTCGTCAATAAGGGCTTGGTCATCTTCAGTAAGCGACCGAAACAAGAGATCGATTGCAGTGGCTTCATCTTCTAGGTACTTGTCTCTTTTTTCAATGTTGACGCGGATCTTAGTATGCTTGTCTGCTTCAGCAATTTCCAACTCTTCCATAGCCTCCGTTAGTTCACCGGCTATTGCTATTTGGCAGTGCTGTACCAGGTTTTTCTCGCAGACATAGAAGACTTTCTTCCCCTTAAGCTTGACCTTGTTTCGGCGGAACCAAGTATCGTGGTTTTCAGCTGTAAGTTGGGGAATCTTCCATTCTTCCTTCTCTACAGCCATCTTGTGTGTTTTGAGTTGGTGAGACTATTATGCGAGCAAGGTACGTGGTATGATGCTAAGAGTGTAGGTGATGCGGGCGATGCGGGCGATACAGGCGATGCGGGCGATGCGGGCGATCCGGGTGATATTCTGCGGGCGGTGCAGTCGTTATCGGTTCTCGGGTGTAGAGACGGTGTATTTAAGTGTGATTGCGTGTTAACCGCGTTGTACACGACTTCTTTTCTTTTCTGATTCCTTCTTGAATCTAAGTCCTTCGTGACTTGGGTGGATGTTTTGATTCCTTCTTGAATCTGAGTCCTTCGTGACTCGGGTAGGTGTTTGAAAACAATAACGTTGGGTTAGGCAACCGGGCTCATAACCTGTTAGAACAAGGTCTCCTCTGGTGGTATGACTACCATAGGCGACCGAGTAGAGGTACGAAAGGTAACCCTGTATTGGATTGAACTTCACTAAGAGCTATTGTTCTATCTACTTGTTGTTATGATGATCTTAGGACGTACATGACAGATCATCATTCCGCGTCGGTCCTTCTGCTCGGGCTTACTCCACGAACCTCACCTCGCCGACCTGGACTGAACCTAACATATTCTTAACATAATCCACATATCCCACTCTCTCACAGCACCCAATAAATACCCAACAGACCACAAGTATGCGTTTCACCACCCTCGCCGCCACCCTCGCCAGCGCCTCACAAGCCACAGCCCTCCTCGCCGGCCTCTCCGCCCCCGCGACCATCGCCCCCGGCTCGCGCTTCAACCTAACCCTCATCGCCTCGCCGCGCGCAGAACCACGACCCGAAGTCGCCGTCTCCTACGGCTGGAGCGCCAACAACGGCTTCGAGGGTGCCCTAGGCTATAACGTACAATCCATGTTCCTGGGCCCAAGTCTCTCTGACACCGACAACAATATCACCATCTTGGCTCAGGCACCGGCGCGTGAGGACCTCATCCCCGGTAGGCCGGCTGGGCCTGGTCCTGACGAGAACATGTTTTTGAACATTGCTTTCTTTCAGCTCGGACCAGGTAATTCGTACCCTGCTATTAGTAGTTATAATGTTTCGGTCATGATTGGGGAGGAGACGAGTGAGGGTGTGCTTGTGGGAAGTACCACGCCGTTGTTGGTTATGTACGCTTAGATGGGCAGGGTGTGAGGAAAGGGGGTGTTCATAAGAGGGGTGGATAGGGGGAGATGAGTATATATACGGTATTGGTGCCGGTAATATGGTAATAACGTTTATATGGCGGAATCATACCAACACGTTCTGTACGCTCTTGTAATGCTTATAATGCCACGTGCTGTTGCCGCTGCTTGAACGGGCACTGATGCTGTGGTGTACGGGATGAGGGAAATACAAAACTCAGTGCGTTCTGTACTTATTTCTTAGTATTGGCTATGCGTCTGGATCTAACCTGGAGAACTGGCTTTATGTCGGCTTTCGTCATTTCTTCGTAATCCCCCATTTTTTGGGTCGACTACTGGAACTGAACCTCGAGACAGGTAGCAAGAGCTGCGTACATCCAACATTCATTTGAGCTGTTTGATGGAGGCTACGGGTCAAGTAAGCTGGGGGATGGCAATGCACTCAATCACGTACGCGTTGAAAGTTCAAATGTAAAATGTTCTCTCTAATCAAAATATCTACAGGAAATAACGCCCATAATACCATTAAATCACAATCGGAGATTCGTTACTTTAGAATCTGTAATTCTTCCCGTATAGCTCCTTCTGGCTCGTCGCGGGCTTCCACTCAAAGTGATGCTTACCCTCCATGGGCTTTTTCACGTTTGAGTCCTTGTCACCCTTCTTGTCAAACATGTGGCTACCGAAGTAATCCAGTTCCGCCTCGTAGAAAGACGTGGGCAAATCAGTTCCACTAGCGACCTTGAAGTATTCCAAAGTTGCACTGATAGCAGGTACTACCTGATCCGTCTCGACTGCTTTAGCGACCACGCGCCGGAGTGCTGGGAAGCAGTTCTTGACGTCCTTTGCCACGCGAGTTGAGAAGTTGAGGTTGAGGTCTTCGGATAAAGGGTTTGATTTTAGAACAGGCGCGAGGATTTCGTCGGAGATATAATCGGCTTGGATGATGCAGCCGGCGCGCCAGATCTGCCAGACTTGGGAGTAGTCGATTTCCCACTTATGTTCTTGGTCTGCTTTGGCAATGACGTTCATGCCTTGGATGAAGCTGGCAAGGCAGGCTGCATAGGTTGCTTTCCTCAGGTCCTCGAGAAAGGCTTTCTTGTCGGAAATGTTCAATTCGCTGGGAGGGAAGCCGCCGTCGGACGCTTTGCTGGCTCTCTCACGGTCGCCACGGAAGGCGGACGCTAGACGGAATGCATGTGAAATGTTGAGCGTGAAAGCCGGAACATGAAGTTCGATGGCTTCGGTGTTGCTCCAAATTCCAGTCCCTTCTTCGCCAGTCACATCCTGAACGACCTTGTCAAGCACTTGTGAGATGACGAGTGGGTGGTGTGTCTGCTTTTCGCTTGTGCTCTCCTCGGACTTTTCACTTGCGTCGCGCTTGTGTGATAGATCGGCGCCGATGGAGACGAGGAAGGTGCCTCGCTATCCAGTTCATTAGTACAAAACTTATTGCGGTTGAGTAGAGTTGCTCGGACTTACTAATTCGCCTTCGGAGTTCCACTGACTGAGAACATCACCAATCTCCTCGTAGCCCATGCCCATTTTTCGCATGATACCCCAGGCCTCGCAAATGGCACTCATCATGCCATGCTCGATACCATTGTGCATCATCTTGACATAGTGACCTGCTCCGCCTTTTCCAATCACACCAACACATGGCTTTTCGTCTTTGTCCTTAGCTGCAACTTTTTCCAGCAATGGGAGGACGTCTTTGAGCGCAGAGATATCCCCACCAGGACACATGGAAGGTCCGGCTCTTGCAGCTTGGTAGCCACCACTGACACCGCACCCAATATATCTTACGCCAGTGCCTTTGGTCTTCTCCTGTCGCCGCTCAGTGTTCTGGAAGTGTTCGTTTCCGCAGTCTAGGATGATATCGTCACGAGAGAGGTTGGGTATTAAGCCCTCGAGAACCTTGTCGCCAACACCGCCGTGTGGTAAGGAGAAGACGAGTAGGCGTGGTGTTGATAGTGCGGCGCACAGTGATTCGTAGTCTGTCACTTTGTAAGCGTCGTACTAGTGGTTGTCCCGTCTCCCCTAATTACCTTTGTACTTTTGCACCTTGCCGTTATATCCTTGTTTCTCAGCCTTCTCGATGACTGCATCCATCGCCTCCTCTGATGGGTCCGAGAGCGAGACATGGACGCCAATCTCAGCGAACAGCAGGGCCATGCCACCGCCCATGCTACCACACCCAATCATGGCAATCTTGTCTTGTCAGCCTTTGATGCGCCCAATTGGATGACTATGCATACATTTGTAAACCCAGACATGGTTTTAGAGGGAGGTCTCTTCTTGTTGCTGACGGGAGCGGTATGAAATGAGTAGAGAAGAACCCAATATCACAATATACAGATATGTAAGCGAAGAGAAGGAAGGGAGAGTTGGATCAGCGTAGTAGACAAGATTATCGAGAAATGCGAGCATGATGAAAGGTGCGGGTCAAAAGTTTGTCATATAACACACGAGTGACGTCGGTGGGGTGGCAGCTGGATCGAGCTCAATGCTAACATGGCTGGCGGGCAGTCCCTTTATCTCTGACTTTCCGGCCGTGCCGCGAGGGACAGACTGCGGAGCCATTTGTATGCGGGCCTAATACTAGGCATGCGTTGGGATGGTGGCTTCCCAACGCAAACGAATGGCAAGTGCGATGACGGGGAGGTGGAGTTTGGGTCGCGTATGGAAAGAGCCGCTCTTCCACTACAGTGCACGGTCACCAGATGATCACCAACGCCAGTTGAGCACCCCAACAACTCAATATACTCAAAAAGATGGACTTGTAGAGCCCCCACTAGTCGTGATAAAATTGCGTAAATAATAATTAATACTATATACAGGCCTGGGAAAGTCTTGCGCTAGTCAAATAATTTTTTTGTGGGCTGGATTGGTCGTGAACGGCGACTACGCGCTGGGGTAGCTGGTGCAACGCTTGCGACTCCTACCACAGCTGGAGCAACCCCAACACGCTTTTGACGCTTTGTAGCTGGTTTATGAGGTTGTGAAGCTTTGCGCTTACCCTTTTGGGGCAATTGTATAACTTTTCTGGCGTTGTTGAGGGGCTTCTGGTGTTGTTTCTCAGCCAGTTTTGCAGCAGCTACCTTCCTCCGCTCCTCCCGGAGTCTCTCACGCTCAACACGCTTCTCCTTCTGTAGTTGAAGCTTGCAGAGGCGAGCTTTCTCCTTCATCTCAGCTATCTCGGCTTTTTGAAGCTGTAGTTGTTCGGCTTGTTGTTGTCGTGATACCTGATCATCCCGAGCTTGTTGTACACGCTTGGGTGACCACAAAATAGCTCCCCCATGATACTCAGGATGGTTATCAAGCTGTAGGGTGTAGGACTTGTTATCCCGTCTCTTCTTGATGGCTAGGGAGTTTCTGAGACCTCTGACCTCGCCGCGGAGGAGTGTATTTTGAGCTGCAATGTGGTGCAAACTTCGTTGAAGCTTCTTGACGTCCTTGTTGCTCTGATCCCTCACCTCACGGCGTACAATTGACTTGAGCTTGAGCCAATCCTCCCCGGAGAGTACAGAGGTTGAGCTCTCTTCTGAATCTGATGCCTCCTTGGCAAACTTTTTGAGTACAACCTCTGGGTTGGGTGGGTGTATACCAGTTGCTTCAAAGGACCTCTTGATGAGTAGAGGTTTGAAAGTCTTACTCCAAGCCCTCCAGAAGAGCGGGAAGAAGTCTCCTTTAGATATATTAAGTAACCCTTGGCTGTCTTGAAGGTATTCAGCCAACTCAGTTGAGTAAGCGTTCGCGAGAGGTTTAAACATCACAACGTCAAGCGGTTGAAGCGTATGGGTAGCGTGAGGTGGGTATACAGCTAATAGGATCTTGTGGTCGTTGCAGTAATTGATAAAGTCCATAGTAACATGGGATCCATGGCCGTCAAGGAGTAGTAATCGATACCCAGTTGAAGCATGCCGTCTGGTTTCTCTCTCAAACACCTCTTTGAGCCAAGCTAACCCAATATCGTTGTTGCTCCAGCCAGAGGGAGACGACGTAGTAAAGACCGAGTGCTCCCCTACTTGTATAGCATCAACCCAGCTTGATTGAACAGCTCCATTGGCTCCCTTGAAGATGAGTGAAGGACTCAGAACTGAGCCATCTGAACAGATACAAGCCAGCACTGTTATCCACTCAGTTGAGCCATCCTCAAGTGCTTGGCGTACCCCCTTTTGATCGTAGAGTGCCTTGGAGAAGATACGCTTTGTTCTGCCAATCCTTCCAAGTTGAAACCCCTTCTCATCCATATTGAATATATGGGTGGGCGAGATGTTGTACTCCTCAATCTTATCAAGGAGAAGCTTGAAATACAAGCTGTACCTGGCTCCTGAATCGGCTTTGCACCGTTGTTTGCTCATCCCCTTGCTGTAGGCAGAGATGAGATGGTTGGGATGCCGGCGGAGGAACCGGGAAACCCAGGTTTCTGAAACCGCTTTTCCAGCCAAAGATGAAGCAAAGCGTTGTATCATTAACCTCGTAGGTGGCAAACGTCGTTCAGTAAGTGTCTGTATGTACTTTACAAGCTCGGTTTCGTGTTGTGGATGGAGGGAGAGCTGGCGCACGCCATAGGCCTCGGTTTCGCCCTTGTGCCGTCTCATCAGCGTCATACGTCCTACACCATACTTTTTAGCAATTGCTTGGTACGAGAATTCATCTCCTGGTTCGCGTGATTCGATTTCTGCAATCGCTTCTTGAATCGGATCCATATTGGTTGAGTTATGACGCGTTGAAGTTGTGTTGTGGTGGTGGTGGGGGTGCTCAACTGGCGTTGGTGATCATCTGGTGACCGTGCACTGTAGCGCGAACCGTTGTACTCCACGCAAACACCAGGCGAGCTATCGCGACAATTTCTGTACAATCACCCACCACGCATAACATCACCAGCAATTCTTAATAATCCGCTGAAATTCTCCTGCCACTACCTGTAGCCATGGCCGATATCGAAATGGACATTGACCAACCCGAAGCTGACCCCAAGGCCGGCGACGCGCGCACCGAGGCCGGCGCAACAGCTGTGCGCTCCATTGAAGGCTGGATCATCATTGTCGCAAACGTACACGAAGAAGCTACAGAAGAGGATCTGCATGACATGTTTGGCGAGTTTGGTACTATTAGGAATCTGCACATGAACTTGGACAGGAGAACTGGTTACGTCAAGGTACGCGTTTGACTTTAATATACATAGACGGCTCTAACGTGACGCAGGGCTATGTTCTCATCGAATACGCTACGCTGGACGAAGCAAAGGCTGCCATCAAGGGCGCCAATGGCAAGGAACTCCTTGAGCAAACTGTCGCTGTTGACTTCGCATTCGTACGACCGCCCCCAACGACCAAGGGACGCTCGCGCGACCACGACAGGCGACAGAGTGGCCGAGGCGCTGGCAGAGCTAGGAGCAGGAGTCCCGGCCGAGGCAGCGAGGGTGTCGAAGACGAATAGTCATCTCGGATGAAGCTGCACATACATCTGCACATTTTGTCGAGTCCACCATGTACAGAAAGAAGATGAAGTTGGGGGTTAGGCCTGAGATTTGGCGATAGCCCTTATATCCACTTCTTGTCAGGTACTGCAATACCAGATCGCCGGCTTGTCTCTCTGTGAGGCAGGTCGGGCCCTAGCTTGACCAATGTAAGTCGGTGCTCTCTAGCCTTGGCAACCAATTTGCTAACCGGTTCATAGCTTTTGCGCTTCCTCGGTCTGATAGAATTAACTGGCCCTACGCTGTGATGCTGATAGTTTTGTACACAGTGAGTCGAGCAATGACTGCGAAAATTGATATAACCATGGGATGGCATTGACTGCTAGTCGGAGCCAACCCAACCTTTCGGGCTTTGCCACAAACACGCTTTTGATCACGTTGGCATCATACTCAAGAGTAGTCTGCAACATTCACTTTGGCTGAAACCATATTCGTACATCTCTCTAATGGGCTCAGGTACATGGAATAAAGGGTGACTACATGTGTATGTAGCTAGATCTATAGTCATATGATATGCGCTGAATCAGCCTATTCAGCATCATGATCTCTTTCACACACTTTTGCTACTAGCTTTGCACATGCGGCTCACGATATGTTCACTCAGGAAACCATCGATCGATAGGCGAACTTGACACAAACGACAAGCAAGATAGTCGGCCATGCGTGGGAGCCATACATGCCATACATTGGTATAACAATCAAATGTCCACATACTTCAATACTCTCAAAGCACACCAAACTCAACAAAAGCCCTACCCTCCCCTCTCCCTCAAACCTTATCTGTAACCTCAATATGCTCCACCACCGCCTGTTTCTCACCAATGCCCTTGCCCCTCTCCTTCATATCCTGCAGTGCCTGCTCCCCAACATCAACCGCATCATCCCCATCAAAGAACTTTGCAATTTCCTCCATAGGCGTATACCTCGTTTCGACAATACAAAAGTAAATAACGCCAATCTCAAACGCGAGAAACACGCAGTACACGATATAGTACTTCCACGCCAGCGCATCGAGCGCGATGCCGTTGACAAACTGGTTGAAGAATAAGGCGGCTGTGACGCAGAAGTTGAGCCAGGTGAAGCCCTTGGCACGCAGGCCGTAAGGGAGGATTTCCGTGGTGTAGCCGGCCATTATTCCGGCTTTTACGTCGTAGAAGACGCCGTAGAGGAACTTGGGGGGATATCAGACTGGGGTCAAGAGGGTTTGTTGAATGTTTGGAGCACACTTACGATACTAGCAATGAAGCCTTTACCGAGAGCAGGCCGGGGCGCAATGGCGTAGCGCGCAGATATAATGGTGAAGATGTTGAACATGACAAATGTACCGATTGTCGAGATGAGGTAGATGGGACGGCGACCCAGCTTGTCAACGAGGAAGGAGAAAGTAAAGTTCTCCACCAACGCTAGTGTCTTCATGCCGCCGTTGATGCCGAGTTGGGTCTGCGGGTTCGTGAGACCTACGTTGTCCATTACATATTTCAGGTAATATGAGATTAGACCGTTTCCACTCCATTGGCTGAAGAAACCAATGGCAGTGATGATGGTGATTCGCTTGCGGTTGCCCTTTGTTTTGAGGAAGTCGGCCCAAGAGTTTTTGCCTGTAGAAGGGTTAGAAGGTTGCGACTGTGGTATACTGGGTGGTTTGGGTTACCTTGTTTCTTGTCGAATTCGATGGCAGCGCGTACTTCGGCGTATTCGAGCTGGATGAATTCATCATCGACGTCACCTTCGCCGTGCCAGTGTGTGAATATGGCGAGGGCTTCTTCGTGGCGGTCTTTGTTGCAGAGCAACGTGGGGATTCGGGCATGAAGAAGATGAAGCCGAGAATGATTAGAGAGCAGATTGATTGCAGAAGGGAAGGGAGACGCCAGGACCAGTCGCTCTGTATTAGATTAGTATATTGTACAGCGAACCAGAAGTTTTCAACTTTACCTGGAGCTTCAGCGTTCCGTAAGTCACCCATGATGCAATGAAAGCTCCGGAGTGGTAGCTCGCACCAGAAAGTGTGACGAGTACAGCACGGTCCTGTGGGTGCGCAATCTCGGCGATCAACAGCGGTGCTGAGCCTAGCACAATGGTATCGCCGAAACCCAGGATCAATCGCGCAGCGATGAACATGCCAATGTCCTGTGCACCTGTCTGAAGCGCTACTGCAACCAACATGATGCAGCACCCAATAGCCACGCCGATCTTCCTACCTTTCCAGTCAATCAGATAGGGTGTGAAGAAGAGGCCGATGAGCGAGCCGAGTGACATTGACGAGTTGAAGAAACCGAGCATGGCCCCCCGGGGCTCACCAAAGTAGTTTTGCCAGTAGGAGAGGGATTGGAGACCCTGGTGCTGGTCAGTAAGAATAGAAGAAAAATTTGATGTTGATACGCACGTTCATCATGGATCCATCAAATCCATTGGCAGTGTTTGTCATGATAAGAATGACAATGTAGAGGTAGAGTTTGCGTAAATTCGGACGCTTCCACCATGGTAGACGTTCAAAGATGCGGCCAGCAAAGAAGAAGTGGCCTTTTGGTGGTTTGACAGGTACAATCTTTTGCGTGGTCTTGGGTGGGCGTAAAGAAACCATGATGGGCGAGTCGCGTGCCTGCGTGTCAGCAACAACGAAGTGAGACGCTGTAAATCTCGCGGCCACATGCTGTCTATATATTCTTCTCCAACACTGTGCCACATCAGTATCAGGAAGTCACATCCCTGCCGCCTATCGGCCTTGGAGTTTGGAGGTAGCCTAGTATAGGAAGAAGCCAAGTTGGCTGAATACGCCCATGGCCCTGGTCTTGTCCCGCATACAAGCCCTGGAGGACTTGGTTGGAATGAATCTCGTATCGTATCGTGATAAGCGCCACAGCAAGGGGGGCATGGTCATGAATAGCCTTGCACGCCGTGCTCTTGGGCTACTATGATCCAGACTGGGGTGAAATGCGGGGAAGCCAATTCGGTCATGCTCGTAACCCCATGGGGTACGACCGGCTAAACTGTCGAACTTCGCATCCCACGTTATTTCGTCTTTTACATGATTCAGGATGAAAGCTACCGCTTTGCTGCAACTGCCGTAGCCAACACTCTGAAGGCGCGCGATACCAAAGGAAGTTAGCTTGGCTGTATATGATTGGCCAGAAGCTTGCGATCTAGTGACAACAGAGAACGGAGTAAGCTCGCAGTCAGCATCGTCCAGAAGTCGCAAAGATACTCCAACGACACGCGCTTAAGAAATCCAGTACCGGGATACTGCAGGGGGTAAGGATCTGGTGCAAGGTGCTAGGGCCTTTCCTTCTGGCGTCTGGGGCGCTGCGAAGAGCCACCGCGGGGTATGTAGATCATGTTCATCAGATGAACAAGCTGATAAATTCGGAAACCCGGCGAAAATCAATAGTCTATGATGAAGAGGAAAAGCTTATTGATAGCCAGTTAGCAATTTTTCATTGCCGTCAAAACAAGTTTCCAAGCCCGTAGCAGGACGAGGCGCACTTGGTATAGCCCTTCTTATCAACCACCAAGAAGGGAACGACTCACTAGCGTGAGATGACAAGATGGGAGTAAGACATGCCCAGCGGTGTGGCGATCCGACTCTCGATCCAGAAAACGTGGCTATACGAATTTACCCGGCTTTGCACCCGGTCGTTTAGCACCCACAACATCACATCTCCCGGTCTCCGTACAACGTACCTAGGTAGCTACCTCGGCAGGACTAGCTAGGAATATGTATGAATCTATGATAATGACACTCCTGTACAGTGACCTCCCCCTCGCACTCTCATAGCAAGCTTCACATCGTCAATCGCCGCCAACATGAGCACCACCATCAACCCAATCATTCCAGGCTTTGCACCGGACCCATCTGTCGTACTAGTTGATGGCACATACTATCTCGTCAACTCGACATTTCATCTCTTCCCCGGTTTGCCCATCTATACGTCTCAGGATCTAATTCACTGGCACCAAATCGGCAACGCAATCAATCGGACCGAACAGCTCAGCTTCTCCAATGCTTCAACGCTGATACACGATTTGGGTAATGGAGACCATTTGTATGCAACAGGCGGTTTGTATGCGCCTACGATACGGCACCACAATGGTACTTTCTACATTGTATGCACAAACGTGGTAAACCCCAGCGATGGGGGAAAAAGCAAACTCGAAAACTTCATTATTTCGAGCACAGACATCCACGCCAGCAAATGGAGTGATCCTGTCCCGTTTGAGTTTTACGGTATAGACCCTAGTCTCTTCTTCGACACCGTGTCGGGCAAAACATACATGTGCGGTTCGAAATCCCCGGGGCCAAGCACAAAGATCACTCTGTTTGAAATCGATGTTGCGACGGGTGAGAAGCTCAGTCCCGAGAAGGAACTTTGGCATGGGACTGGCGGTATTTATCCAGAAGGTCCGCATATTTACTACCGTGAGGGGTTCTATTACCTCATGATTGCCGAGGGTGGCACGCACGAAGGCCATAGTGTGACAATGGCGCGGAGTAAGAGCCTGGATGGACCGTGGGAAGCATCACCCCGTAACCCTATGCTCACCGCTGCTGGAACGGACGAGTATGTGCAGTGTACAGGTCATTGTGAGGCGTTCGAGGGTATGGGCGGGAACTGGTATGGTGTCTGTCTGGCGATACGGATGCATGCCCCCAACATGTATGGACTGGGTAGAGAAACCTTTCTCACGCGTGGACATTGGGATTCGGGAAATTGGCTTTCCTTTGACCGCGTCAAGGCTCAGCCTTTAAACATCGACACAACACTGGATCCCGCGAGGAAACTTACAGCGGCACCAGGTGTAGATTGGCTCTACATCCACGACCCAGTCGCCTCAAACTGTAACATCTCCACTTCCACCTCTTCCTCTACCGGCCAAGACATCTCACTAATACCCTCGCCACATCTTCTCTCCTCAGCAAACGCATCTCCAACTTTCCTCGGAAAACGCCAGCGCAGTCTGGAGGGAGCAAGCCGCGTCACGCACCTCACCTCCGCCTCCTCCCCCCAAAATCTCACAGCAGGACTAGCCGTCTACAAAGACGAACACCGATTCTTCTACATCGCCGTGCACCGTCAGACGAACAAGCAACCTGCGATTGTAGCTAAAGTAGTTAACAAGGCGCAAGGTATTGATAGGATGGAGGAGCGGAGGCTCGAGCAGGAGGATGTACTAGGAAATGAAATTGTGTTTGAGATCAAGTATACAGAGGAAGCGTACACGCTTTTGTACAGTGTGGGAGGTGGAGAGAGAGAGATGGTAGAGGTGTGTAAGGTACAGGCGAGGGAAATGAGTGATAGAGACTTTGTGGGACCGATTTTGGGTGTTTTTACGGTTAGTGGAGAGGAAGTGGAGGGGAAGACGGTGTTTTGGGGGTTTGGTGTTGATGGCGATGGTGTTTAGAAGGGGAATTGTGAGGTGCGGGGTTCTTACACGATTAGCCTTGGTACTTGCGTCCGGATATGGAAGAATGGACCGGTACCTAGCTCTTTTGGCGTTAGCATGTGATGAATACGATGCTTAGGCCTGCTTGAGAGTCTAGAGCCCAAAGGTAAGTTGTTGCACTTTACATCTTCAGTGATGGATCCTGGAGTGTGATATTACCCCCGCTTTTTTCTTATCGTCCTTGTCCCATCAATGAAAACCTTACAATATTAGTAAATTGAAAGCCGCTCCCGGTGACAGAAGTGTTGTTCAATTAGTCCGATTGGATCGCATTGACATGTGTAGACGTCACTGTAAGCTAAGCCCCTTCTGTACTTGACGCTAAACGACAATATTATTATTATTATAATTATTGGAACAAGGTCCCTCTAGTAGTATGACTACTATGGATAACCGAGTGGGAGGAGGGACAAGGCGGGGTGGCTGCAACGTATTGTATTGACTATCGTGTCCTATATCAAGCTCTCAGGCTGTTGTGGTGGATGCCATTGCCCACCGGGCAGTGCCTGCCACACCAGCACATCATGTGACCCCCAAGCACCTTCTACCTGGACTGAACCCAGATATTCTCAACAATAATTATTATTCCATTAGAGTCCTTTTTCAATCAGAGACTATGTAGGACTTTGGCTGTTAAACGACAATAGTTCATAGCCAAAAGTCTGGAATGTGAGAGATTCGAGGGACTTGTCTAGATGCTTTACTCGTCCATGACTGCCCTGGCTGATCATCGTATAATATGTAACCACGTGACTAGAGTCACATGATATCCTATTGTAACAGGCACTGCCCGGTGGGCAAGTGCACTTACCTCTGAGCCGAGAGCTCTAGAAAACACAACAACAGATAGCAATACAATCGTTGATCCACAGCCTCCACCCGACACTGCTCACGCAGTTACATAATATGTCGCGTGACTCGGCTTGGCACCCACATGTGTGTAGGATGCAGACTTGCTATCAGTCAGGTAACTCAGTTCGAACTGACTGAACTGACTGCCAAGACTCAGTTCAGTCAGTCAGTTCTTGAGGCAGCTGGACGTCAGTCCAGTCAGTTCAGAAGCCTCCAGACTGACTGAACTGACTGACGTTAGACTGACGTTAGCTGTTTTTAAAGCAGTATTTTAGAGTTGTGAAAGCCACATTTAGTGCGGCTTCGAAGCCGCGCTAGTCCTAGATATAAAGACACTAATCCTATATAAGTTAAAGCATCTAGCTTTAAGCTAATTAGAGTTTGCGGAAATGCGCTACCCGGTGCGCACCTAGTAAGCCTTTCGCGTCGCGTCGCGTCGCGTCTGCTATACACACGACGCTAGACTACTGTTGCCATAATACTTCTTGGTGTACTTCATGTCTACTCCCTCTAATTCAGGCCTTCGCCGCCTTGTAGAATGCGACAAGCGCAATTCTCCTCTACCATCGCTATCAAACGCGCCTACTGTTGGCGATACTGCGAGCGAGGCCCAGGCTGATGAGCCCTTGGCAGTACAGGCGGACTTCCCCAACGACGGCGACGACGAC